TGAGGCTTCCTCTACCTCGTGTCTGTGTTCTGCGCATTTTGAAGATTCTTGTTTTGACCTTAATTTGAGCGTGTAAGTCAAGCTCAAAAGAAGGATGAAGAAAGATGCTATCCCAACCATTGACGTGGCTGGGATTCCTGAACCATTACAGGACGAAATAACCGATCGAAAGCGAAGACAAGTAAGTTTACGCTTGTTTATGTTAATTTTTCTTTTGTCATATGTAAATTCGATATAAGTTTTGTAGATTATTCGACATACTCTCCATAAGTAGTCCAGCTGTTAACGACAAAAAAAACACCTAACCCTTCACTTTGATGATACAAGTATGAAACTTTCTCACATTCTTACTATGCCTAGTAACACAAAATTTTGATATAGGGCCAGCCCATATTTTACATTTAAAACGAGTTCTGCGAATGTCGTGTTTGATGACGTCATTGGTAGTAAAAAAAAAAAGTTCAGAGAAATCTGCAATTTCCCTGTATATTCTTATACAACAGCTAAAGGCGATAGAAAAACTATATTACAACTTTTGCTTTTGAGCAATGCTTTCCCAAATATTGTGCATGGAATATTCTGAAAAGTGCTGAGTCAGCACTTTTATACATATATTATATATATATATAAAGTGTATAACAATGTGCCCTCCCGGCTTTCACCATAGTGCAATGATAAATCGTATCGAAACAATGAAGAACATTCAATTAAGTTTCTTTAAGATTTATTACCTTACTTGTGTTAGCATTCAGAATAACCTAATTGAAAAAACCTATTTGGAAAGAAGATATGTCAAAGGATCATCCTCAGTTTCTGTATTGGACCAGAGTTTTGGAACTAGAATTACTCTGTTTACAACTAGTGCGATCATTTAGAGAAGCTAATTTCTCCTTATACTTCCAGTCAATTAAGCAACTTGTCCCTTGGATGTTTGCTTTGGACAATGTTAATTATGCAAGATGGCTTTCTGTCCATATCCGTGATTTGTCGGAGCTTCCATTCAAACACCCTGACGTCTTTAACCAGTTCTCCAAGGGCTCGTTTGTGGTGCATAAAACGAAGAAACAGTTTTCAGCTATAGCATTAGATCATGCTCACGAGCAAGTTAATGCAGTGGTAAAGGGAGAAGGTGGTGCTGTGGGACTAATCGAAAACCTTTCAGCTTTAAGGAGATGGATGATTGCAGGTCCAGAAATTGCACGAATAATTAGGGAATTCGAGATGAGTACACATGTAGACAGTCAGCTACACCATGAGCAAACTCCATCCATTCAAAGAGAATTTTATAAAGATGTCTCAAATGTCGTCTCCAATTTTCAAGCGATGGGGAATCCTTTTGTAGAAGAGAGCGAAGACCTATTTGCCATCCACACAAATGACGTTATGAACAGTTCCGTTGTTGACACGGTGAAGAATGTTGTAACCCTTGGAGAAGAACAATATCAAGCATTTGTTAAAGAAAGATTTGTTGAGAGAAGCAAGAGTATTACTGAAACGTTGAAAAAAAATAATCTGCCAACGTTTAAAACAGGAACAAAAAGAGTTTCGTCAAAAGATAAAGTAAATATACAAACTCTGAAACTAGACTGTGCTTTATTTTCAAGATTGTATATAGCCAGTCAAAATCGAAGTGGTGATCTCGATGATTTCTTTAAATATGAGAACCGACCATGGTCACCATCTCTCTCACAAGCAGGAAGTTTGCGTACTGGTAATAAAGCAGACTTGACAAAGTGTATCGAGCCCATTACCAAAGATCAGTCACCAACTCCCGATGTTATTATTTTAGACGGGGCTGTTGTTGTTCAAATGATTTCACCTGGAACTTGGGAAACGTTCGAAGAGTACGCTCAGTTTGCTTTCATTCCTTATGTGTTAAAGCAATTTCAATCAGCTAAAAGAATTGATTTAGTGTGGGATGTATACAAAGACGATTCGCTGAAAAAAAACGCACGGGAGAAGAGAGGCTTTGGTCAACGCCGCAAGGTTTCATCGACAGCACGTATCCCTACTGACTGGAAGGGCTTCCTGCGCGTAGATGCCAACAAAATGGATCTATCCAATTTCTTAGCGCAGAAAGTTATTTCCCAGCAGATTCAAGAAGAGAAATTTGCAGTACATTTGAAGAAAAGGTCTTGTGCTTCCCTAAAAGAACCGAAGTATCAAAGTTGGAACCATGTAATCATGAAGAGGCTGACACACGATTGATGGTGCACGTGTTAGATGCAAGTGACTGCGGCCACCAGAGGATTGTTGTAAGAACAAATGATACTGACGTATTGATACTGGCCATTTCAATTGTGAAAAACATCAAAGCAGAAGAATTATGGATTCTTTATGGCACAGGAAAGCACTCGCGTTGTATTCCCGCGCATACAGTTGCATCGACTATCGGACCTGACAAGGCATCTGTTCTACCGTTGTTTCACGCTTTTACGGGGTGTGACACTGTTTCCTTTTTTGGAGGTCGAGGAAAGAAAACTGCATGGGATGTATGGAATGTATTTCCAGAGCTAACATTAGCGTTGCAAGAGCTAAATTTGTTGCCAGAAAGGATTGATTGTTCGTCCTTGCAGGTAATTCAGAAACCGCCAAAGGCATGTATTATCTATCAAATAAGGTCTCTATTATGATTTATATAATGTTTTGCAGGTGATTGAGCGATATGTGGTCCTCTTATACGATCGTACAAGTAATCTCACCAGAGTCAATGAGGCTAGACAAGAGTTGTTTGCCAAAAAGTCTAGAACACTGGATAACATTCCACCAACCCAAGAAGCGTTGCTCCAGCACACTAAGCGTGCATTGTTGCAAGGTGGATTTTTCTGGGGGCAGTGCTGCTTGAAAGAGCAGGTTATACCAACTCCGTCAGGTTGGGGCTGGTACCGTGATGAAAATTCTTGGTTACCAAAGTGGACAAATCTCCCTCAAGTTAAAGATGCCTGTTATGAACTTATTCGTTGCGGATGCAAAAGTTCATGTTCTAGTCGTTGTAATTGCGTCAAAGCACATTTAGTTTGTACTCGTCTGCGTAATTGTGGGGGTGATTGTCAATAACATGAGGGCATTAAAATTATTTTAATATTACTGTTCTTCGTTAGGCGCTTTTCCAATGTATTTAAGAAAGAGCAATAGCACTAAACAAAAGTGCTGAGTCAGCACTTTTAAAACACTTTTAATGTAGAATATTTCAGAATGTATTGCTCAAAAGCAAAAGTTGTAATATAGTTTTTTTATCGTCTTTAGCTGTTGTATAGGAATATACAGGGAAATTGCAGATTTCTCTGAACTTTTTTTTTTTTACTACCAATGACGTCATCAAACACGACATTCGCAGAACTCGTTTTAAATGTAAAATATGGGCTGGCCCTATATCAAAATTTTGTGTTACTAGGCATAGTAAGAATGTGAGAAAGTTTCATACTTGTATCATCAAAGTGAAGAATTTTGTCATTAACAGCTGGACTAAAGCCATCGCTGAAGGAAACATGTTCTCTAAATGAGGAAGTACCATCTACTAGTGATGAAGCTGAGCATGTTTAAGTATGCACTGGGGAAGCAAACGATTCGCCATTTGAACGACTTGCTATTTTCCATTTTTACATTTATGCTATGATTCAATTCCATATATTTTTTCTTTTGTCTTTTTTCCCAGACTGACATTGAAGAAAAGATATTCTTTCATTTAATTCTTTCAGCTTAACCTCTCAGTAGTTGCACCAATTTGTTTTTATTGTTTACTCTTGTTTCAAACCATTAAACTGCATGTCAACTTATATAGTGCATCCATGTATCTCCTATTTGGTTTTCATCTAGGCATATTTCCTGACCATTCCAAACTCAGCAAAGAAGGTCAACAGTCTCTACAGTGCACAAGTTAGAAGACTATTCCATCATCGCCCCTCTGATGGTATGTAACCTGTTGTGTTACCACTTGGATATGCTTTCCGAATAAAGTGGTAAACACAAGCATGTAAAGGCCGAGTATTCTCCCATCCCATAGACCCACAAAACCATCGCATCAACCATCTGTATGCCACAGCTCTCAAGTACCTGAAGTAAATAAAAAGGTTGGACTAATTATTGTTGATGAAACAATGTTGATTATAACATTGTTTCTCATACAATTTATAATCTTACATATTTAATGATTGTGATGCTTGGCGGCGATAAGCACGTCCATTCCTATCTCTCAACAGTGGCCCGACGTTTTCAAGGACAGCCTCATGAACTAAAGGCCCAAATTTGGCATGCTGTGTTATGCATGATATTTTCTCAATGCTGCCATCGAATGTCATTTTCTGCAAAGCTGGTCCACTTTCCTTACAGCATCTGTACTCTAATGCGCCTTCTAACAAATCGGTATGACAGCATTGACAATTACACCTGAAACGTGGGAGCATTCTGGTTTATAAAGTAACTTTATGTATAATACAAACAGGAGAAAACAACAACTTACCATTCACCAAGTGGAATTACGCCATCACTTCGTTGTTCTAATGTCGCAGGGAGAATTCCATCGGGATCATCTGGAGTATGCACTTCATCACCATCTCCTGCGAGCGGTTCATCGTCATATGCGAAGTCGTTTAAATGCTTGACATAACCCACGGATTCCGAGCTCGAATCAGATACGCATTCAGACATCGAATTCGAATTATCTGAGCACTGATTTGAGGCCATACTTTCCGGACAACTTGTTTTTTAATATTTTATTGAAAATACTGTCATTATTTGTTTTTAAGACAAGAAAAACGACAACAAAATCACCTCCTATAATATAATATTATATTGACGGAAACAGACGTGTTCAACTACTACGTCACAAGTATCAATATGGCGTCGTAAAAAATTCGCAAATAGTACCCGACTTTGGAGGCAAAATTAAGCAACTTATATTTATCTGTTTAAGTCCAGCGACATGTCATAGTTCTTCAAATAATCCAAATTTTCAATTAAGCTCATAAAAAAGGGGGGCTAAAATTCGTGATATAACCACTTTAACGAACACTTTTATGACCAGACCGACGGGGTGGCAATGGTTCTCCACTGGCACCAGTACTTGCCAATCTCTTCATGGGCTATCATGAAAAGAATTGGTTAACTAACTACGACGGACCAAACGTACTTTTTTACAGACGTTACGTTGATGATATTTTTTGTATATTTAACAACGAAAACGACGCCTCATTATTCCTTAATTATTTAAACCTACAACACACAAACATTACCTTTACAGTAGAAAAAGAACAGGACAATAAATTGCCTTTCTTAGACATACTTATCACTAAAGACACAACTTCAGACAAATGCATAACTTCCGTCTTTCACAAGAAAACTTACACCGGACTCTTAATGAACTTTTTTAGTTTTACACCACGTAATTATAAAACAGGACTTATAAAAACTCTCCTTGAACGCATCCACAGAATCAACAATACAACAAACGGCTGCGAAAATGACATAAACACACTAATTGATACTTTAAAACGCAATTCTTTTCCTGTCCATTTCATAGACAAAGTCATCCAATCATTCAACGACAAAATACAATCAGACACACAAACATCAGATGAACCTAACCAAAACAAACCAAACATATACTATTTCAAACTTCCTTACATTGGCTCATACTCACACACCACTCAACAAAAACTACGGAAGTTAAAGTGGTACTATGACGAAAATTTTGCCTCCCGTTTTTTTTTCATAGATTAATAGTGTATGTAAAAAAATCTCTTCTGGCGAAATTTTAGCGCAATGTATTTAATGCTGCTCGAGTTACGTAGCGATAAAACTTGTACTTTAAGAGCCGCCATTAAAATGCGCCATATTTGAATTTTCAAGGAAGGTGCTTGTGACGTCATAGTCTTAACTCGCGGCTGTTTACAATATAACACTATATACAAATAGAGATATAAAAGGTTGTATTACTCAATTTTTTTAACATGCCTTCAACACGCTGTGTCGTGCAAGATTGCAGTAATACGTCTGATAGAAGTACAGGCATTTCATTACATAAAAGCCCAAACGACGAGTCTTTAAGAAGAATTTGGGTTAAATTTGTTGAGACGAAGCGCGCAAACTTTAATCCGAGTTCGCGCGAAATTCGATATATGATTTGTTCGAATCACTTCTCGGATGATTGTTTTGAGCGTTTTTTCCATTTGGGTGGTATGACTAGACGGCTCAAACCTGGTGCCGTACCTACTATTTGGAAGAAATCGCCAACACCAACAACGTCAAGAGAGCGGCGTCAGGTTAGCACAAGTTGCAACTATTATATACTTACACATATTGCAGATGATAAATTTTCACAATTTGAGAGAACCAATAATACATCCAGGCAAACTTTCAATATATAATATACATTTATACTAAGGTTTTAAAGGAAATACAAAATGAAGTGTCTGTATCATGCGATGACCTTTGGTCTTTAAACCTAACGAAGCTGCTTGAAGAACAAATTCGTTCAGGCAAACTTCGTTAAAGCCAGGGTGATCCAAAATGCATTTCCTTTCATCGACTTCGAACTGATACATTTTACCACGGCATTGCTCTAATTCCATGCAGCATCGGCACTCTTGAGGGTTGACAACAAGATCCAACGAACAATGGCCACATTCACACCTTTAATATTGGCCCAATCGTATGTTTCCATAAAGTTATCATAGCTAACGGCAGACGATTCAGATCAAAGTAACACACTAAGAATGACATCTTACCATGAAGTAACATCAACACGGGCATCAAAACGATCTTGCAGCATGTCCTCAACCTGCCGTTCTTCTGCGACTGCAGCTTCGTACTCAGCAATTTCATCGGGCGAAGCAAGCGGTTCAATATTATCGGCAAATCGCAAAATTTCCGAATTAGATTCGTCCGAATTTGCCGTCATGAATTCCGATGAAGAAATCGATGCGTTTGTCTCGATCGAAGACTCAGAAAGCGAGCTAGATCTCGATGAATTTGACATTTTTTTGTTCTATTTGTATATTACTTTGTATACTTTCCAATGTGCGCTTCTTGCTGTGTTAAGACTATGACGTCACAGACTTTGCTGATTGCAAATATTCAAAATGGCCGATTTTAATGGCGGACATGAAAATTAGACATTTCAAATGTTCATAACTCCCTCGTTATACTATTATTTTTGCTTAAATTTTACGAAAGCAATAATTGATATGTGTTTAAACTATTGAATGCTAAAATCGATGATTTTTTAACGTTCAGTTTTCGTCATAGTACCACTTTAACAAAACGCTTCTGTGTTGACTTAAAAATCAAATTGGTCTTCTCATCTTACAAAATAAAAAATCTTTTTAGTTTTAAAAACAGTATTCCATCTCTACTCAAATCTTGCGTGGTTTATGAATTTTCATGTGCGGGATGTAATTCCCGTTACGTTGGTGAGACAACTCGCCATCTCTCCACACGCATCAAAGAACACGCACATTCCGACAAAAACTCACATATTTATAAACACCTTCACACTTCACCACATTGCAAATCAAAATACAACCATTCATGTTTTCGCATCTTAGACACCGCCAACTCTCCTTTTTCTCTTAAACTGAAAGAAGCGCTCTACATTAAAAAGCTCAAATCAGACCTCAACAAACAAATATACCACATTAATACAATATTTAACCTGTAATATAATATCTAACACTAATTCTGTAATTTGATACACTTAACGATAGTCACATACACATATATATATATATCATGTAAATAGCATAATCACCTTCATTCTATGTACTGAAGATGGCATAAGCATGCCGAAACATGTTTACGATAAAAAAACTCGTCGTTCATTTAAAATGTCTGATATTCATCGTGCTTTTAAGAAATTATGGAAATGTAAGAAATACCGAGATTAGTGTAATCTGAACTTCTGAAAGGTGATTTACGATGAAGAAAAAAACTATAAAAACAAATAAACAATGCTTCATAGATCCAGTGACTCCTTTAAGTATGTTGTATTATAATCCATTGAACGACTGAAGCAACATTCATCAAAGTTTTATGTTTCAAATAAAATATTAATATTTTGCGCAAATTGAAGTATTTTACAGTTATGTAGTTTACGTTTTTCATATCATGGCAACATTAGGATTCTGTGAGCAGAACTATTACATACCCACAGGCCACAATAATGAGTGTGGCTTGTCATTACGTATGAATAATCCATAAGAGTAAGAAATCCATGTGCTTCAGTACGTCATGGCTGCAACATTTCTAGAAACGGCATTTATTTATGCTTCTAAACCATTTCTTGAATGATATATGAACTGAACAATTAGTATCATAAGTGTCCCCAACACGCACACAAAATTAGTAATGACACTTTGTCTTGTAAACATTTACCAAATCAATTGAAAAGCATTTTAGCCGATTCCAGATGATTTATTCTCATTCATTATTGTTCATCTTCTGTGAGATTGATATATTGTGTCAAACATCAAGAGTCTAGTCCCAGACAAACATATTAAACCATCAAAGAGTCAATACATGTTGCAGTTGACCAAACCTACGACAACTTTGGCAAACAAGAAGTAAGTCAACCTGCTTCACCTTGCACATACCATGTGTAGTTTCAAAAAAATGTAGATTTGACATGTCCATCTCTTTAGGTAGTTAAAAGCAGAAGGCAGACCCCTTAGCCTTAGTTTTGAGTAGTAAGGTCTTGGCCTGTTTCTGCCCTATTTGGTTTATGTTTCCAACTAAATCAGAAATCCACACTAGCACACATAAATATTTTAAACTTTTGCAATTTCCTTCTCATAAAATATCTGCAATAGGTCAAGACTCAACAAAACTGCTATCATTGGACTCAGGTGACAACTCGATAAAAATTTGACTAGGTGATATTTGTTGTGTTATTTCTTTGATGCATCCAAGTTTACATCCAAAAAATCTGCAATGTCCTCCCATTTCCATAAAAAGTGGCTGAACTAGGTTGGAATGAGTAAAACGACGAAAAATGCGAAAAAACTTTCACAATACAAATTATAGTTTTTTTGCACGCTAGATTTGGAATGTTCAACTTGCTACGTATAATTTGTATATATACGTCAGCAATCTACGTTTAATATGTTTATATTATGAAGTAATCTAAATTTTAGCTCCTTTTCTCATGCATTTTCGACATTAGATCATAACGATATCGTGTAACCGCTACACTGACATCAAAATATTATAAAACATTACAAAGTGACAAAGTTATAATGCATTTCATGCAAATTGATTAACAGCACAATGCAAATGAAGAACAATACATTGCTTTTTATCGCATATGTATAAATTTGTCATTTTCCTGCTATTTCTCGATGTAATATAATGTGTACTTTGGGTTTGTACTTTGGGCGTCACAAATGTAACTTGATGAAAATCTGATATATAGTACATGAAACCATCACTTTCGTGCACAGACAAATAAAAATAAGTTGTCTCATCAGGTAATGATGACAACTTAGTCTCACCTAGACTGGAAAAGTTCCAAAATTTAACCGCAAAAGTTAATTGCTCAGTGAAACTCTTTTGCAACCGTACGTATGAAAAACACCATATATAACGTCTTGCGGAGTTCATGCTCTAAATTTTCAATTTTTATCCTGCGTACAATACGCAAAAACATGCTACTGCCAAATTGGTTATCACTTGTGCCCCATCCCACTTCCATCGTCCTTTCGACGCCTCTTCTTATTATATACCACACGATATATGTAATTTTTAGATAGCGATTTTTTGTAACTTCGTTACTTGTAACTAGTCTTGCTTTGAAAATTTCAGAACATTGTCATTATTTATTTCTATAAAAGCAGGTAACTATTTATAACTTATATGTATGAAATTAATTTTCTCAGGTAGAAAGATCGTTTTGGTAGCAGGTGCTTGACCAAGTCATGAAATCTTCACTGTTGCCTCTCGTTACAATTTTCCTTGCTTATTTATACGTGAAATCTTCCACAGCTCGCTTTATTCATACCTCTGATGAAAATGAAGTCCAGAGATTGTTTGAAAACACAGTCATTATGGGAGATAAAAAGAAAAATTTCATGCCACCTGAGTCACCAGCAAAACGCCGACAAAATATCGATTTTTTGTCAAAGAAATGGGATAACAATGATATTAGTCGCTCAAGCCGAGGCTGTCCTGAAAATAAAAATCCTGTATGGTTATGTTAAAATCTACGACTACAAAATGAACATTAATAGCTAATTAGTAAGTAAGGTAAAAAAAGAACGTCTCAGCATATATAAAAATTGGTGTTATCATTTATTTCTTCATCTGCTTATGTAATGGATGTCTTCCTTTAGAATATTGCTGGAATTCATCTAAATGCAATGTAAGCAAAGTTTCTTGGAGCAGAAAAACAACATGTAATGAAAAATAAAGCTTAAGATATTGCATTCGTAAGCGTTATTGTTTTTTCTAGCTGTAATGTAAACTCATCTTTATTTTGCTCAAGTCAACAAGAAATTTAGGATAATGTCAATCAACAATATAGTTTTGACAAAACCGCAAATTTATTTTACAATATGGACATCGTTTGCACATGCATGTAAGTATATCTTTACAATTTAAAACGAAAAGTGAAGCCATTTTACCGATGTTGCGTGAAATATGGTCAATCCATTGAACAAAAACAGATTTATACAGTTCAGAATACCTAAAATAGACTATTATAGTTCAGTGGGTCAATCCCATTTACCTTTCTGCTAGATATTGCCATCAGCAATTGATGGACATCACAAATATTCGTCGGATGTTATGAGGCAAATTTCCACTTTGCCTTCATAATACATACGAATCTAATTGAAATTCCTTTGTCTCGCCAAATCTGGACCAATATTTCAAAAATACCTATTAAATTCAATGCTTTTTGGGCTGATTGAAACATTCTTGGCCATTAGTTCATTTACTATACTGGATGTTCGTATTACTTACCTAATTATTTTAGTAAAATTATTGCGAACAAGTTAAGGCGATCGAGTAAGGAAAACTTACTGAAATTTGTATGTGATTTTTAATGATATTAACTTTTAAAGTAGTTCACTGTGTCTTTTTATGTTGATTTTAATGTGCCGCTTCCGTTCTAAATTTCTAGTAAGTCTTACTAGGGCCACATTCAACTTGCCGTCGCATTTGTGGCATTGCTTGGACATAGATAATGAGCACATGTTTTTCGAAAATGCAACTAAAATTACCATTACATTTCACTGCATTTTAAACGACAGTTTCCTGTTGTTCACTTTGTGTTTTTTGTTGTTTCCATTGGTGTTTGAGTGCTTCTTTTGACACAACAACCTCCACTACTTGATTTTCTTGTCGCCACTTGCGCCACTGAGTCACGTGATAGCGAATGCTCAGTGCAAGCCAGAAAACGTACAGAAAGAGGAGAAAAAAGCATAGAGCTAAAAGACCAATGCCAATGAGAAGTTCACCCAATGTGAAAAAATACCATGAGCCGTCAAAACAAAGAGCGCAGCTGGCAAGGACCAAAGGTGTGAGAACAAGCATACATATAAAGTCACCATAGATGTATCGACATTGGCTTGTTCCATGTACGCACCGAAGCCACTAGAAATGAAAATAATAAGATTATTGCCGTATTCTAAAAGCTGGAACAACACATATTTTACAATCTGTCATGGAGCTCACGAATTCGATTTGATTACACTGTCAAATCGTACCTCCACAAAAGGTTTTGGCCGGCGTCGGGTTGTGAATTTTTGTTGACATATTTCACATATATCTGTTTTGGCGACGCTTAGCCACTTTTCCAAGCATGTCACGTGATATTTAGCAATACTTCCGGTACACTGACATAATGTTTTGAGATTCTGAAGTTTGTCTGTGTCTTGACAGATGCGGCAGAAAATTGAAGAACTACTGCTTGTACATGAGACTGTTTTGGGTTTGCCTTTCTTGCCACAAGGTAGAAACCCGTACCCTTCTATGGAGGAATCTGAGACCTATAATAGATTTAACCAGCGTTAAAACCCTGTATTTATATTGATATGTAACTTTCGATTTTTTTTTTACTGTGACAAAAGTTAACATTGTAACACTCCTGAAAAAGCATGCATTATCATCGTCGGGACAGTTGGTAAAAATTTCAATTCTCATGACAGTGATAGTAGATTGGTAGTAAAGCCAGTAGGCTCTATTGTTCAGGAAATAAATTCTTTTTCAAAATAAAAAAAAATCGATATTATTATAATACAGACCAAAGCTTCTGTGCGAAACATATAATTTCTTATGAAAATATCAGATGACAGGTTTTGAAACATGTATCGAAACTCGCTTTAGAGTTTAGCAGAAGTGAAATCGAAGGACTATGATGTATATAGGAGCAATGAGAAGATTGTTAAACAAAGTTATGATTTTTCGTCTCAGATTTACGAGCAAGTTCTGTTTTTGCCGGTGGAAAATTTTTTCTCTTTCGTCTCAATGAGGTTAAACCTTCAAATATTTCGAAACTTATTTTAAATGACATAAACACACCTGATTATGTTTTGGATCAATTTCTTTTCTCGTAAAAGAATCTGATACGCTGTTGTCTGGGGGGTTTTCTTTGACAACCAGGTTCATAGTGCGTGGAACAAACCTCGAACGCATTGCATCGTTCGTGACGTCATAATCAATAGAGTGGGATGATTAACGGTGATCGAATCCAGTTAATTATGTGAGCTCAGTTAATTTGATTTGGTTGGTCAAATTTGCTGACGGCATCTTTAAGAACCAAGGCAAACAAGACTGTTTTATTTTCAAATTTTGATGCTCTTCTGTTTAATTTTAATAGCATGCAAATGCTTATGATAATCGAAATTTTTTTAAAATTTGAGACGTCATGTTGAGACGCAAAAATTCATATAAACACTAAATAATGAAGAATTTCCTTTCAGTTCATTCATTTATTGCTTTTGATTAGTGTTCCTAAGTTGACATAGTTTACCTCCTTGTATACAGTTAGTCGACTTATGCAAATAGATGTACCATAGATGTACACACTCTCGTACCCCTCGTACCTATTTCTCCAGCAACTGATCTGCATTAAGCTGGACTAATAAAACATATCCTCGCTCAGAACTTCAATGGAGGTACTTTGTAACGGCTGATAAGAACTTGTTATTGTTAAAAGAATTTGTTTCGAAACTGTAAATTGATCTTTAAATAATAATGGTAAGATATTTTATGTTTCATCGATGGTACCTGAAGCTTTACCATTGTTCTGGTTTGTCTATTTTATGATTTACATCGAATAATTCGACTGTTTATTTAAAAAAAAACGGCAGCACTGTTGACCTACCATCCATTTGTTTTCCCAACAATTATTGCCATGCTTTTGATGCATGCTGTTTGCATTATGAACTGTTGAGATATTCGTTATATTGTGAATTTGGAATCATGTACGAATAACTTCATTTATTAATTGCATTAGCCTCAAAACGAGCACATTGATTTGGCACGCAAAAGATATGGATATCGACTTGATCATTTCGAGAGAAAGTAAGTCTAAATAACATTTACTGCTATGAAAACGTTAAAATATACTTGGATTATTCTTTTGGAAAAAATTTTATCACCTAAAAGTTTTTACATTCATGTTGTGTATCAAATAGCCATAAAGTTGTTAGGAAAAATTACTCTCTATTCAGGTTATGCTAATGTTGTGTTATAAATGCTGTGTTGTGTTGTGTTTTTTTGGGGGGAAATTTTAGGTCATTTCATACCTGAAATGCAAGCGCAATCAAAAGCTTAATGACTTTTTGATTTTTGTTTGGTAGGCAGAGTAAACTTTCTCTTGCCACTTTTATTTTTAGTCATTATCCATATTACTTGGTGTAATTGTCATTTACAGTTTCATTAAGTCATAGATTATAAGCGCTGTTCTCGCTTTGATCACTCTTCTCTTCTCAGTTCCTTATTCTACAATATAGATATTAATTCTCATATTTCCAAAAAAATTTCAATACTTGTACTTGAGTTTGTTTTCTTTATTAAAATCAATTTTCACGGCCGATCAACACTTAAAATAATTAAAAGTTGCAGTTCTGGTAATTGGCAAATAACACAAGGCAATTAAATTTTGATTTTGCCTGCCATTTTATTTTTTTAATTAAGTAGGATGTTTTTTCACCTGCTCTCACTTAATGCCTTGTGTTTGTACATTGAAAGCCTGCTATTCTGAATCCTGTGTATTTGATAAAATGATCTGAGTTCCAAAACATCCGGTCAACATCTTGAGAAAGTATGTATATTTTTATTGCCATTTACTTCCCAAATTTGAGCCAAAGGATGCAGTTGACATGAATGTTTTACCTCATTCACAGTCATTATGAAGACATTTACATATGGGTCACAAATTTCTAATTTTCATTATTCCTTTGAACACATGTGTGGAAAGAACTTAGAGAATTAGTTTTTGTTTTTTATGGACAGTTTGCAGGCACTAACTGAGATAATGTAAACTGCAAAATTGTAATAGAAAACTGACAGTTGTGTAAGTTACATCTACCTTTACTAGAGTCGCGATTTTATGAGTCTTGTGAATCTGACGGGATAACTCCTGGATTTAAAAATTTAATGTGCTGTTGATAAAATTTAAATAACATCTCATGAAAAAAGTTTCTGAGTTTTAGAGTTTATAAATTTTTAACATTACCATCAATATTTATACAGGCGTAAGAAGGAAGCAAGAGAAGTACATGAAAGGGCTGAACATGCAAAGAAACTTCATGGTCTGAGGTAGTTATCGAAACCAGCTAAAAAAACTTTAATTTTAAGTACTAAGATTTTCAAACTGATATTGTCTTTAAAAGGTTTGCCATTGTCAATGTTTCAACAAAATTTCAATTCATATTTACTACACGAAAGATGTTTATTGAGTGCACATTGATTTTTTATCGTTCATCTCATCTTGAGTATATACCTTGTTTCATTCTCTCAATGATGCTACAGTTTGATGAGTTTATTCAAATATAGCTATTGTTTGTTGTTCTTCACAGGGCAAAACTCTACAATAAGAAGAGACATGCAGAGAAAGTACGGATGAAGAAAACGTAAGATTTTTTAGCGTCATCTCAGAAGAAACAAACGTTGACAGACTTTCAGCATTTAAGAGTTTTTTTGAAACATGTGCTAGTTCGGAAAATTTTACTGTATACTTGAATTTAAAGAATGTTTAATGTTTTCCACGATATTTTTTCGAATTACTTTCTGGTGTATCAATTTGTTTTTTGTTGTTTTTGACTTTTAGCATCAAAATGCACCAGGAGAAGAAAATGACGTCCAGGAATGAAGACAAGGTCCCAGAAGGAGCTGTTCCAGCCTATTTATTGGACCGTGAAGGGCAGTCACGCGCGAAGATTCTTAGTAACATGATCAAGCAAAAACGAAAAGAGAAGGCTGTAGGTTATTTGCAGTATTCAACATTAATGCGTTCGCTGCTTGACCTTTTTATTTCCGAGAGTGATCTCATTGTGTGTGATGGAAAAGTTGTCAATTAATGTAACCCTGCTGCTTGAATATTTTTGATAAGAAAACTGTGCTTTTCATTGCTAAAATCTTCAACACAACTGCGGAAAGCTTTACAGTACAGTTTTTGTCACAAAGAAACGACAATTCAACGGTAGCCATCTTGCCTGTGTTAATAATACCGATTAAAGAACGCCAATTTGGGTTGATAATTTTGTAACTCTCATTTTACTGGATCGTTCGTATTTATTAAGTGTAAATGTCAACAAATCGACCCATTGCTTGCGACGCTATTCGGCTATTGTTCTTCGTTAACAAAATTGAGGGGGAATTAAAAGGATATTAAAGCAAATTCCTGCAATATGAATGAACTTTTAATGAGTTAGTGAACCTCTTATCGTCTATCTGTGCATTATGAAAGTGTTGGCAATTTGATTGATTGATATTTCTTTTGACCTTGAGATAACTACCGGTAATGTTGTGTCCGATATGCTTTTCAATGGCAGATGAAACGGTAAAACCTGAATTTGTTCCCCACCCCATCCTACTCCACTTGCGAAATTTTTACAAATTACCATTGATTTGAGTTTGAGTTCCGAGAAAACACGCCGAACTTCGTGTAAAGTGTTTAATGTTTTTTCGAATTCGTAAATTGACTAATTTCATTTATGTTTTAGGGAAAGTGGGTTGTCCCGTTACCAAAAGTTAAAGCGATTGGGGAAAACGAAGTGTTTAAAGTGGTGAAAACCGGAAAATCCAGACGTGAGTGGTAGAATTTTTTAAATTGCATTCAAAAATTCGCTCGATGCAAGCCAAACAGCGGAAGTTTATTCGCTTTATCATAGTTTATGCGTATAAAACGAAAGTAGTATAGTATTATGCTGCATTCTTGATATTGAGCCCTTTTTTTTAATGTCGTTGTGTTTACACCAAAGTTAACTACCATGTACAATCAAAATGCACTGTTAATTCAACACCTGTTTGCTAGTTTGAGCTTGTTTCTTATGTTTTAACTTCCCGATAGGAAAAGGATGGAAACGGATGGTGACCAAAGCTTGTTATGTTGGCGAGGGGTTTACCAGAAAACCGCCGAAATATGAACGGTTTATTAGACCAATGGTAATCCTTTACGAATGTATTTTCCATGCCAGGCACCAGGGCACTTCCTTTCTTTCTCTTGTTTCCAATGTCAATGTTTTCTCAACAAAACTTGCTGAAAAATGATTTAAATGCATGGTCTGCTCGGTAATATATTCAATTTTGTAATTTTCTTGTTATTTTGTCTCGTTTTTAGGGGCTCAGATTTAAGAAGGCGCATATCACGCATCCAGAGGTACCAACTGAACTATATATATTTAAAATGTGTTGTATACTTGCTATCGAAGTGTAATGCTGTAACGTTAACTGTCCAGATTAGTGGAATGCCGAGAATCATTGTTGGTGTTGCTGATGTTGCCTGACTGTGAAGATGATATCCGCTGCCTAAGGTTGTCGAAACGTCAGTCAACATCAATACCAACACCAATAGTCCTTCTCAGGACTCCACCAACCTCGACAATATTCATCTACAAACATGTAGCGATACTTTCGGTATCGAGCTATTTCTTTGTTCTTCTTAGTAATCAATATTTTACTAGCTACGTATTCGTTCACTTGAAACAAAGAGTCACACTCAAAGAAGCGTTATGCGTCGACATTATATTTAAAAAATCACTGAAGATGACGGTTAATGGAGTTTAGTCTGTTTTACAAAGCTGTTACTTTTTGTTTTGGCGTCAATGGGTGTTATGCCGTATAGAGATCATTAGAACAGGACATTTTTTAATTTCGTCATTAAAATTTTAAATACATCATAATAATTTTCTCAACTCCATATTAATTTTCAATACAACCTAGTTTTTACACATCATAATAATTTTAAATACATCATAAGTGTATTTGAAATTTGGTTCCTTATTCATGGAGCCAATCAATCTGCGTTATCTATTTGTTTCGAATGTTTATGTTTTTATCTTCTGATTTCCATTTAATAAAGTTTTTGCAACTTTGCGATTGTTGAGAAAAACTTCAACTTGATTAAATTCTTTTCAATTAGCTCAAGGCAACGTTTTGTCTTCCGATCATTGGAATAAAAAAGAATCCACAATCGCCAATGTACACTTCGCTTGGTGTTATCACCAAAGGAACAGTCATTGAGGTAAATATGAAAAAACCATAATCTTAAAGAATCATTGTCAACCACAATGCAACGCGCGCTCAAATGATCTCGACAATTTTCTTGGTTGAACAAATAGACAAACAATGTATCAGTCTGAAATCCGTGAATATTCTGTGCATCTCTTGTTGATGTATAAAAATTTGTGTCGTTTTTGGATCAAAAAAGTATTTTCAGTAGCCTGCTAGTGATATTATTCATAAACGTATCTTTTTGGGTGAGCAAATAACTTTTCAAAACTATGGCAAGCTCAACAGTTGAAAACATTCTTAAAAGAGGAAGACTAAAACTTGGTATTTGGAATCACACACTTTTAACCAATGTCGAAGTTGTGCGAAGAGTGTAAGAGAAAGTTCATCGTGTGATGGAATAAATTATCATTTTTAGCACCAATACAAACAAACTAGAGGTGCTCATTGCATTGTGGTTCACAATGATTCTTTAAATAAGAATGTAAAACATATTCCTGGAGTATCTTAACATAACGCTACGAGTATCTTAACTTCTTTGTTTGTCATCATTTTTACCTGTATTCCATTCTGACTTCATAGCCAATGGCTTTTAGTCAGTGCAATAATTCACAATTATTGGACGAGGTTCAGCATTATATCATGAATTGTGCAAACTGAGGCCGAAGCGGATAACATTGTCCGAGGTCTGAATAATTCTTGATATCATTGAAAAACCTAATTCATTAATTGTTTTACTGTACAATTGTAAATGCAGAAGTCTTTAAAATATTATGTGCTAAAGCCATAAAGTTTTCCGTGCTTCGACTTAAAAATATCTTAACGGTTCGTTTTTGTCTTTTACTTGTCAAATCTCGTGGTAAACTCCTGTGTGAAAGTGTAGCTATTTTTTGTGTTTTCTGCGTCTTTATTTTTAAAAATCCGAGCCAAATCCGTTTGTAAAACGCTTGGAAATCTCGAGCAAAACTCCGCCATTATACTTTTTTGTTTACAATTAGAATAATTACAATTACACAATTTTCAATATTTTGTGGATGGCAAAACATTTATTACTGTCCTTAGGCTCTTGACCTATCACAATCGAGATTGCACCGTCATTATATAATATTTCTTATTTGAAATTAAAGTTTAGTAAATATTCCGGTAAAAGTCTACCCAAAATATTGCCAGCTGATCCTTTCCTGTCTGGCAGGAATTTTAGCAAAACCTAATCGTAGACGATTCCTCTTTTAGGTCAATGTTAGTGAGCTTGGTTTGGTAACGCAAGGCGGAAAAGTTGTCTGGGGTAAGTGCATACCATTAAATTTATTTATTTATTTACTTATTACTTAAAATTATGAATTTGACACATTAGTCTATCGATCCAGCGTATGAGATTGATTCTCATGGGACCGTGAGACTAAATGTGCAAACGTTTAGGATTATGTATATTTATTATGTTTATTTATTATGTATATTTAATAATTATATAAATTATGTACATTATGTGTACTTGATAAAAAAATTGAACATAGATATTTATGCAGACTTACGCATTTTTACAAATGCACAGTCATGCAAATATCAAAAATAGAAAGAAAAGAGGACATCGTAATTTCCGCGCAAAACACAAATTATCTTTCCATTCCAGTAGCTAATAGGACACACTGACTCGAATAATTGAAATTGGCTAATTGAATTAAATGGGCAAGCACCAAAGTAACGTACAACGGGATCAATGATTGAGAACCCAATCCTCTAGATGTCTAACTACTGTGACCAGAGGCGTAACTAGAACGTTAATTGGGGGGGGGGAATGTATTCATATATTCAGTTGTGCCCTACTGATTTCTTTTGAGATTCAATTCACTTTCAAAAGAAAGCAGTAGGGCACAACGGAATATATGAATATGCACCCCCCCCCCAATTAACGTTCTAGTTACGCCTCTGAGTGTGGCAAGGTAAGGCCATTGGTGAGGCAAGGACGCCATCTTGAAAGGTGGCAAAAAAAAAAACTCAAAATGAAAAATGAGTTAGAAGAAAGTTTAAAAAAACCCCATCATATTAAACATTTAAAAAATTAAATCTAAACTATCAACTTTGCAACTCTAAATCAACTCAGGAAAAGCAGATAGTAATCATAAACATAATCAGTTTTGCCACCTTTCAAGATGGCGGCTTGCCTCACTCATTACTATACAATTTCGGCGGAGTCAGATATCTAGTAGATTGGGTTCTAGGTCATTGATCAGGACTGCACTGTTGCGTTGGGTGAATTTAAACTGCAGCTCCCAGTTGAGCGTAGATGAATATTCATCCAAAAACACGAGGACAATCACCTTGTTCATGTGTGACCGTTGTGTCCGTACAATTTATTATTGTCTAAATGTCTTCCAATTTTCCATTTGTTTAAAGGACATTGGTCAAAATAACATTGCTCGACTTAATTATGTACTGGACGCTGATACTTAGTGACATGCTTAAAGAATGTGTGTTAACCATTATGAAGTTTCCCGCTTTTGTTTATGATTCTATTCTATTTCTCTGAGCCTGGGGTACATCGAAGTTAATCCACTGGCAATTGGACTTCCACCCTTTGTCAAAAAAAGTCCTTTTAAATCAGCAGCTGTTTGAACTACGTAAAAACAATGTTTTACAGATTTCATGTGATTTGCACGCAATGCAACTTGGTCGACACACATTCTGTAACGATTACGCAAATGCGTGCTTCCGAAACTTCCTTCAATGTTCTTCATTATATCTTCCGTGTTCGGTCAGCTATATTGATCATTGTAATGAACGCGGGTCTTTGAAAGTGATCTATTCATTTTCCGTAACCATCAGTTTTTGCTATCATTTTGTTTTCCATTTTTATAACTTAGGCAAATTTCACTGCTGAAAACCAAGTTGTTTTTTTGCAATTGCAGCTCGGGTTGAAAATCACTCTTTTAGTCTTTTTAAATGATCTTTGTGACGTTCATTTCCAGGAAAATACGCACAAGTTACGAACAATCCCGAAAACGATGGATGCATCAACGCTGTTTTACTCGTATAGTGATTCCTAGAGGTTGGTTAAGATGATGAAAAAGGTCAAAGATATGTTAAAATGACACGATGGAAGGTGGATTAAATGACTTGTTTTTGTCGTGCTCTTCTGCAACCTTGTAGGTTTATTTGCTGGTGAAATTCAACTAAATTTGGTTAAATTTTTTACTGCGAAAGAGTTGTTCAAAACATGTGAATTTTTTATTGACTGAGATCGTTTTTGTCGTTTGCGCTTTATTTGAAATACGTAGCTATATTTTCTATTCCATCGTTAGCCGGATGAGTACACTTATGAGACAAGTTTTACGTTTTTATCTCAGTGAATATAACTTTGGCCTTGCGGAACTCGAACAGTGTTGCAATGACAGTTTTTCTAAGAATCTCAGTAAAGCTTCACACCCCTCGACAATATACTCGCTCATATTACCTTAACTAGTGTGAATTTCCTGAAACTTTGTTATCTTGAACATGTGCCATATTTTAACCCTATGTGTTCCAATTCTTTCAAACTTTATCATTTACGGACGCAAGCTGTTTCAAAAGTGCTTCTCGCCTCTCTTTAACTCAATTTTCACTATAAAATGGTTATTATTTGCCACAAGTTTACTGGCAGATGGACCATTTGAAGTCCTATTACCTTTCCGCCAAAGGTTTTCGAAAACCTTATTTTGCGCTTATAAATTTAGCGATGTTTTCCCAACTGTTCAGTTTTTTATTTATTAACACCTTAATTGTGCACGTCTTTTCCCATTTTTTTTGTATTTCACTAGTTCTACTTCATACTGAGTTGCTCGTTGACAGTGTTTGCAGGTTGTATACTCATAAGTAACATTTGAATCGTCCACACTAATTGTAGTTTAGCTAATATTGGCTGCTGTTGAACAAAACATAACGCTTTTTACTATGTTATATTGTATGGCTCTTTGAAAAACACTGCTTGGCTTAAATATTTATTATAAGAATTAGAAATTTTATAAAAATCATTTTAGAATGTCGTTTAAAAGTTCACAGAATATCTGGAATTGACTAAAGACCAAAAATTTAAACAACGCTACAAATTTGTAGTATACCAAAACATTTTTGGTTGTTTTTTTCCGTATTAATTATCAATACCGTTTATTTGTTTTTTTTTACAGTATGTAAACCTTTAGATATTTTATCATAAAAATGACACTACTATAAAATGCAGAAAGAAACAATTTTTTAAAATCCACGTAGTTTTTGTTAGCTATATTCGATGCATGAAAAATTTAATATTTGAGTTCAACTTTGTAAGTAGAGTGATTTTTCATCCTAATCACACGTTTTGCAATACAATTTGACTTAAAACTATTGAAAAACTATCTGAGAATTGTTATAGCTTTGAAGTGTTAAAAGCAATCTATTCATAAAAAGCATCTCTCTAAAACAACAACTATATTGGCCTGTGTTATACATAAATCACAATTGTCGTAAGTGCGAATCAATTCCACAATACACGAGTATTGGCACTTCTGTATTTCAAACCAATGTGCGCCAATATCGCATTAAAATTGAATTTTATCCGTTCTTGTTTGCTGCGTGAACTGTTTTAGTCGCCCATGATCGAGAAGTGACCGTGTTTTTCGTCTTTGCCTGTGATTGTGTGTTTTAATGAGAAAAATATAGGAATAATACACAGAATAAACACTATGAAAAAGCAAAGCAAGATAAAAAAGCATTTAATGTTACTGATACATCGTTGACCGCTGCCTTTCATCTTGATTGGGATAAGTCCATCTTCAACATTCGCTTCGATTTTCACGGTCTCATTTTTGAAAGGAACTTGTTTCTCGGTTTTCTCGCGATGTTTGTCGCAAAGTTTTGACGTTTGCGTTTGTTTCGAATCCGAGTCCATCATCGGATAATATTCGTTTTGTAGGAGCTCTTCATTTGTGGAATAAGATCCATTTGTTGGCAAGAGATGACTTTGATTTTCTGCTTCTTGTCTTCGTTGCTTCTTGAACATAATTTTTGTCACTTTACTCTGCTGAAAACTGATAACTCTTCAAATCCTCTTGTTTACGATTACAATTGAACAACTTTGAATCGACTGACCCAAACTTGCTGACCTGTTATACATATCAACTATAAACGAGCGCTTTTACGATTGAAGCGCAGGTGTTTTCGTCCGATGCTTCAATTTTGATAATAATATTGTTTCAACAATCCAGTGTAATTAAGCTATTCAAATTAAACAGTAAATTTGCATTTTTGTCAATTATTAGTTGCTATATCAACGAAAAGTTTTGGCATTTAGAATGCGTCAGTGGCATGTTGTAGAGCATGGACTTAGACCTGTAATACATGGACATCAGCTTTTTGAGATATCTTGATCGTGTTCGGAACCAAAATTGAAAAGTGATATTTTTTTGCAAAAATATCACTAATAAATATCACTAATATTACTAAATATAAGTGATATTTAAGTTTTTAAATTTAATTTAGAAGCCATGTAAATTGTTCAAGGAGAAAACAAATTGTATCCAGACGGTATTTATTTGAGCGAGAAGGAAATTTTCTATCCAGACGAAGTAAATTTTTCAGAAAACAATGCAATTTTAGTCTCAACAAGTCTCATCGGCCATTTTACAAAGCAATTTTTTTCATTACAACAATTAAAAAAATGTAATTTATTGGCTATTGAGACTCAGTGAAAATATTTCTTCAATATACGTTGTGAAGTAGTACATGTCCGGTTGAATAATTGTTTTATGGTAGGCGCGGATCAATTATCATTTGAAAGGAGGAGTGCAGATTTTCTAAGTGGGTGTATCATTCTCTTTGCTAAAGTTGCTGGGACATCATACAGCTTGTGTAATGAAAGTTTTACTAGCTATCTCGGTTTTCAATGTATTTTTTGGGAGGTTTCGTTCGCAAACATTAGCACGGCCAATCTTGTTAATTGAGGGCACAAATTTGTCTATGCATGCCTTAATCCGTTAAAAAATGGATTTCAAAAGACTTAGTAGGGTGTGATATGTATATATCCATATATGCCCCCCTCCCTCTTGTGTTTAATTCAGGCTCGAGAAAATCTGCTCAGTAGCGGATCCAGCGTTTGTCAAAATAAATGATAGCTGCTCGATTTTAAATTCAAAACACTATCAGAAATGCACTATTGGTTTTGAATTTCTAAAGAATATAATTTTACCAATTGACTTTCCTCTAAATGCAAATATATTCCGTAGACTTCTTGACATGTGGAATGATCCAATCAAATTTTTTTTCAAATTAGTTCACTTTCAAAGCTGTGTGAAGAGAAAATATTTTTCGCAATATTATTTACCAACTTGGTCCTCTTATACAATCTAATCTACCAATTGTTTACGCTAACTTCGTTAATAATTTACTTTGAGATATAAATAACTGTGATTGGTATATTGTAGTGCAGTTCATCTGTAATTGCACTGTTAGAATGTGTAATTGCACTATAGAAGAGTGTAGTTGCACTTTAAACACTGTTTCTTGATTCGCTGCCAAAACTTGTGACTACATTTTAAAGTGGAACGCTCATTCTATTCTAATACAAGTTCTAGACGCCACTTTGAAGCCAGTTACGATGTATTTATATCTGAGTTTTAAGGTTTATTAACAAATCTTGTGTTGTAGAACTTTTCATGCATGAAAATTGTGTGCACTTTCCATGGAAATTTGTGCTACTGTATTTTTGGTATATCGTTGTTTATTTTCGAAAATAACGAAACTTCTAAAAACTAAGAAAGACAAAGGTTTCAAAGATGGTGGCGTTGTTAGAGTTTCAGTTGATATTACAGTTCACAGAGCCAAATAAACTTCTTTTCAATTAGAAAAAACATGGCGGCAGTTGTAAGTAAACCACTGAAGTAAACAAAGATTTCCGCTATTGCAATCGTTTGAAATTCTATAATTACAAAAAAATGCTAAAAATAAAAACACAACAGCAAGTACTGTTTTTTGGATGCGTATCGAGGCTAACCCGCTTTCCTGAAGCGGTATAGAGAGTAACTAAGTGAGACAAATTTAGACGTTCCAGTAAAGAAAGATGTCAGAGTACATAATTCTCGTGAAATTACGGCACTCGTGAGTTTTTTTTAAGACTGTGCACTATTCCGCTGCATTGCGAGAAAACTCCCTCGTGCAAGTTTATCCGTAATTTCACTGGAAACTATACTATTACCTATACAAATTGTTTTCGAGACAATAAATTTTTACAGCAGGTACACATGTTGACGGGTATATATTCAAAGCTGTGCATACAATTGCATGCATCTTAATTAGGCTCTTTCATACATATGAAGGACGATTTACTCGTTTATGGGCTAACTGTTGAACAGCCAGCGTTGTTTTGCATTGACAATGAACGATTTTAAGAATGTCTTTTGATTGTATCAAAATAAATTTGCCAAGGAAATTTAAGGGGCTGATTACATGAGCCCGGTAGCCGGGATTCAGCGAAGCGTTAAATTATTTTGGCAAATGGAAAAGATTAAATACTTCACTACAAAAACTTATTTCAGCAATTCCTTTATTCTCTGACTTTGCAAATTAACAAAACCTTTAAAATAAAAACAAATTAGCCTTATTTGAAAATCACTCGACTAAAATGACATATGACGCTTGTAAGAAAAGTTTGTATATTTTGCGCTTAAAGTTTTCCTTTTAATGACTCAAAATCATTTCACGCCTCGCTGAATCCGGGTTACCGAGCTCATGTAAACAGCCCCTAAATCAATTGCATACGATTTCGATCATTAATCTTAAACATAAATTTCTGTTAAACATATTCAGATGCTCTATTCCGTTCGTTTTATTGTATACTTGAAGATTACCGATGAAGCTAATCTTGGTTAGACGGTTTCTGACGGACGCGCAAGTATCTGCATCGATGTAAATCTTCCCAAGATGTTTCATCAAGACTGAGTTGTTTCCTGTACTCAAATTTCTCTTTATCAAAAGAGCGAAACCTTGGTCGACGAAAAACCTGCTCATGCAGTTTTGGTAAGACAAGGGGAGAGCAGTATAATTTACGATTTATGTACAAGTCCTCTTTTGTGTACTCGAACTCACTTTTTTGTTCTTCCTGCTCGTCCACAACTCCCGCTGATATCGATTCATTATCGTCCTTTCGGATTTTACTTCCAGAAATCATTTTATTTTTAGGTTCTGTAATTTTATGTTCAGATTTTCCTTTCTGTAATTGAAGCAATGAAAAACTGACGTTCTTTCTCAGCGCACGCTTTCTTTGTGAGCTTTGTGTCGGTCTTGCTATGCGGCTGCCCGTTAAACATTTGTCTGAATTTGAAGAGTTTGTTCCCGCGGTTTTCGACATCGAAGACATTAAATTGTTGTAAACTTTCAGAAAAGCGGGTACGGATTCTTCTTCGCGATGGCGTAAGTCATTTGGACATGGTAACGACGCGGTTTTCCTCAAAAGCTCCTTTTGTTTATCAAGCAATTTGCTACAGTTTAGCGCGTGCTCTGTTGATTTTTCCAACATTTGTAGTTCGATCTTATCGACAAGTTGTTGCCATTTAGTAGCAGCGCTTCGGTTTTTCATGCTCAGTGCTTTTGAAGTAGATCCATTAGCAAATACGTCTCTTCGTTTCTGGCCAGAATCCAACTTGACACCACTAATTGATGTCATTCTTAGCTAATAAAGACGTTCTACAAGTGTTTTTCAAACAAGCGTTGAAATAATGTTAGCAAAATTTACAAATACAACGTTATGTCGTGCTCATAACCCACCCAGATTTGACAGAATATGATCGAATTCACTGATATTGTGAAAGTGAATTGACTTGTAAATGACTTTCGGCAGGTGTATGTGTCAATATAAGGCTACTAAACGTTTAATTATATATTGTGTGAGTTCGCCAAATTTGTGATAATTCAACACTTTAGGATTAGCTATGCAAACGAAGACTTCGACTATTCAAATAATGCCCTTTTGAGCATGCTTTTTCCCATGGGCTTACGAAGATCGAAAATTGGGGAGTGGGGTGGTAGGCCCACATTGATGTATGCGGTATTAAATTCCTTCGAAATGCATTGTTTTAACGCATTAAAATGTGCATATAATAATTTGAGCCCCCCCCCCCCATTATCAATCTTCCTACGCCAATGAACCCAATCGTCTAGATGTCTAACTATCGTGTCAAGGTGAGGCAAGGACGCCATCTTGAAAGGCGGCAAAAACCAGAACTCAAAATGATAAAAAAGGCTAAAAGAAGTTTGAAAACCCCATCCTATCAAATATTTTAAAAACTAAACCTAGACTATCAACTTTCCAACTGTGTATCAACTCAAGAAAAGCAGATATTAATCATAAATATCGTCAGTTTTGCCACCTATCAAGATAGCAGCTTGCCTCACTCGAATCTAAAGAATTTTAGCTGAGTCAGATATCTATTCTGAGTTCCATGCAGAAAACTTTGAAGAACGATCTAGTCAGCTAAAGTAAGAAATAAAGAGATCTTTCTTATTTCTTATTCCTTTGTTAAAGAAAAATTAAACCTATGAAATATGAATCAGGTTAGATTAATGTAGACTATTTACATGCTTGTGGGCTTGCACTTTACTTTTTCAACGAATTCTTAGGCCTGTTTCAAACGTCGAATTTTGCATTTGTCGAATGCAATTATTACACGACGTCTTCGCTTTATCTCGTTCCTGACTTTATTGTGAGTAAAACGCGAGAGACAAATTGTAATCGACACATGCAAAATTCCCCGTTTGAAACGACGTCGCACTTTCGTCGCATAATGTGACCAAACCGATCGAATTTAAAGTTAAAGTCGACGTCAATTAAAGCAGTCGAATTTAATTGTTTCATACGCCGAATTTCGCATTCACTTAATTCAAACTATTTTATTCGACACATGCAAAATACGACGTTTGAAACGCCTTATTAATTAAAGAAGTAATCGCAACAGCCAATTAGCGTTCTAATCCAGTTTCCAGTCACGTGACGGCCCATTTTTGTCACTTTATAGTACAGGGGTGGGCAACATACGGCCCGCGGGAAGGTCCGGCCCCTGAAGGGATTTTGACTGGCCCGCTAACTGTATCCGACCATTGAATATTGAATATTATTCATGTAATAATCCGGCCCACCAATAACTTCATTTTCCTAAATCCGGCCCGCCGACTGGAGAAGTTGCCCACCCCTGTTATAGTACTATGGGTAATTGCAAAATTTTAAAGACATATTAAAGATCATCCTATGACTCACAAAAGTTGCATTTTGAAATCACTTAAAATACTTGTGAGCTTATTTACTAAAATCAAACTTACACAAAACACAATCTGACTCTTTAAATAAAGATTTAATTCGTTATTATAACAATGACGGAAAGTCACATTGCAGTCAAGGAAGTCATAAACGATAAGTCATAAACATGTAGACTAACGTATAGACTAAGTTAATTGTGAGTTAGTCTTGAAATGACGATAGATTTTGCCGCGTGGAGCCAAATTTTAAAAATAACGGCTAAACATAGGCGCTTTAGCATTCGACTTATATTAACATTCAACTCATAATTTATTAACAAATTTCATTGACATTCAATTTGGCGCGGCAGGTTAAAAACTAAGGTTTTTAAACTCGATATCCAATTTTTGTGTACACGATCTGCTTCTTCGCAGGGTAGCGCAGTGTGTTATGTATACTACAGCGCAGTTCTGTTTCAGAAACTTGATTCACCGTTTTCGTTGATTACACGTTAAGGTTTATTTGCATTGTGTATCGTCCAGTTTATTAATTTTAGTCAAAGTGAAGCAGAAAGCAAACGAGTGTTGTTTGTCTTTCGGGTCTTTTAAATTACTAATGTATGGTTACAGATTATCATGACGTAAATCAATATGAATTTACAAACACATGATACATTTCAAGTGACGATGACCAACAAATACAACAAATCGTGGACAAATTTTCGGGTGGGGGTGGGGTGGGGTGCCATCTCCAAATGTCACATTTCAACTATTATAATAGATAGTTCATTTCAACCTCTAAAAACAATTTAGCCCGCCCCCCTCTCTTCGCATTGTACTAGTTTCGCTTTGTCCTAGTTGTTTCGTGTAAAAAAGAACAAAATATAGCTGTGGACTTCGAATTAATTTTACAATCGCTAATTTTATGCACGTCATTATACTTACAACGTTTTGTAGATACATTAAAAAATCACAATTTTTTTCTGTTAGTTGAATGTAAAGATGACGTTGCAGCTTTTGAATCGACACCAACAACGGATGGTAACGTTGCATATGTATTCTTGAAACTTGACAAGCCGGTAAAATTTCGTAAACGCTGCAAAAGGCATATGCAGTTGATATTGGCGTCAATATAATTATATTTATTTTGCTAAAAAGCTTAAATAAATTATTAAGTTGCAAAATATCTGAGCAAGGCGCATTGCAGTCAGACTATAATAATTCGTCATTTAAACTTAAGTATGCGGCAGAATCTAGTAGGTGAATTATTCCCTGAGAGTGTGTGAGCGGTTAACATTCAATTAGTTAGTTCTTGGGTGTGTTGGAAAAGTTGATGTTTTAAAAGGGCTCGACAATACTGTCAAAAAGGCTCGCCAAAAAACGAAAGGGGAGGGGAGGGGCAATATCGCTCGGCCTCATCACCCAAAGAGAGCTCCCAACTTAAGCGAGGACCAATATTTGAGAATCCTAGTGATCTTGACTTTAAGACAGTTGGTATTGATTCAAGTAATTTATCCTCTGCAATGACAAATGTAAAAAATCATGACGTCACAGGGCCCTGGGACAAAATTTTATTATTATCTAACCATTTCATCGGCAGTGATCTGTATTGGCTTTTTAATGATCAAGGGAGTTTTGTCTGCAAACACACGGTTAAAGTTTGCTTCTCTGTTCTTCAATTCGAGACGGTATTTTTCGATTTCTTTCTTCAAATACCGAACTTCCTCATCCTTCTATACCAGAATAATTGCATATAATTGATCAATAGCATGAGATATTATAGATACTTTGCGTGGTTATACTTATTAGTCGATTCTCACGTGGGGACAGGGGCTTTGTGACTCAAAATTAATTTAATAAAATATTGATTTGCAGAATATTTTTCATGAGTCATTAATTTTCTATACTCACACTTAATCATAGACGCGTGAATATGAACATTAGACATGATGTGACTGAATGTATAGATCCAAATAACTGGTAAAATCTTAAACTGTCTGTGGTCTTGGTTTTGAAGAAAGTTGCACAATTTTTGAAATAAGGGGGGAGGGGAGGAGGGGGGAGAGAGGGAACAAATTTCCTGTGACACCAACGTGTGTAAAAACATTAACACTTGCAAAATTTTTGAATCTATGCCGAAAAGGTACGACTGAACTGTGTTTCAATTATTAGGAATTCAGAGGCGAATAAAGTTGCAAAAAATAGTAATATAACAGCATATTTTTAAACTCACCCTAACTGGTTTTTTACTTAATCCATCCAAGGATAGTGTCGTGATATCAACTTTCTTCATTTTGCCAGGAGATTTAACCTCATTCAATGTTATTTTCGATTTTCCTTTCAGTTGAGAGGTTGAAATGATCTTATTCATCTGTTCATTTAGATTTTGCTTCGTTCTTTCTAACGCCAAATTTTCGGCTGCCATTTGTCTCGTTTTCTCTTCGAGTTTTTGCGTTCTTTGGAGCGCGCGTCCTCCGTGGCGTTTTGCTTCGTGGAGTGAATTTCTAAGCAATCGTACTTCGTCTTGCGCAAAAGACAACTCCTCCTTCAACTGACAGCATTCTTCTTTTAAGGTTCGATTTTCCGCGAGCATATCACTCAAACTCTCTTCGATTGTTTTCAGCTTATTTTTCAACTCGTTTGCATTGTCTTTCTCTTCTTTCAAGTGCTCTTGTTCATTTAAAAGTTTTTCGGAAAGCTCCAAGTTCGCTTGCTTCATTTTCTGGATCTCCTCTGGAGAGCGTGCTGCAATCTCACTTTTTAAAGTTTCAATCTCTGCAAATGCTTCGGTAAGCATCTTCCCACGTTCGACAACCTTTCGCTCGGATTCCACTTGCATTTTGTGAAGCGATTCGATCGTTTCTTTTCTCTGTTCACATTCAGCCGTTTTCATTTCGAGTAACGTGCGGAAACGTTCTAAGTCGTCTAGTTGCTTCTCGAGCCAATTTAACTTGTGCTTCCCTTCTTCAGTTACCCTTTTAATTTCGTTATCGTACGTTTGTTTCGTTGCCGTCAATTCGAGCTCCTTTTCGTGATTTTTCGTAAATAGTGCTTGCACTATAGTGCTCAATTCTGCGATTTTCTTCGACAGTTTTCCTTTAAGGACATCAGGATCTGAATTCCGTGCCATATTTTCAATCAATGCTTTCTCGGCGAATATGGCTAGCAGACGGCTATTATGAGATTAGCACCCAAATACATTTACCAATATTGATGGTCAAGTAATAGGCTTATCGTATCGACGGCAACGCTTAATTCACAAGTCGACTCTTGTAATATTTTTCGAAGAACATTTCTATCGCGCTTTCTTTGTATCGGTCGTTGGATTTCAATATTCAAATTGAAGTTGATACAATCTAGCGTATCCACACCATACTTATGCTAGTTTTACAGTTTTACTTACCTAACCAGTAATACTAGCAATCACAAACAAGTATGACACAAAAGCCAACATACTCTAGTCGTTAGCAGTCAAGCGACGGCGTAAATTCTCCACAATGACTCGTTTCATATTGATGTTATTCACGAACTACAATTCAAAATCTTATTATCATTTCCTCTCGTCATTTGTCACTTAACGAGGGTTGACTGGTGTTGACCTAGGACCTTCCGTGTGACATATAAGAACCGTGAGATAGCGACAGTTAAAATAATTTCCTAACGTTTGAAATGCTCAATCAGGATTCTTCTCAGACATTAACAGTGCCGTTGTCATAACAATGTATTAGACTCGCACTGATTGTTTAAATATCGCGTTTAATATCGTAAATGGGTGATTAAAAAATGACCTACCATCGTTAGTGATTTGTTAAGTAAACATATCTTATTCATATTTTAGGTGTGTCTGTGAATTGTCAAACGTCATTCTCTTTCGACGGTTTCTTTCGTTTCCTGTGTTTGTTTACATTCTGTGATTTGCAAGGTATAATATTGTGTCAATGGTACGAGAAGACTCAGAAGAGCCAGTGGCGCCGAAAAACTCAAAATTGCTCTTACATATTTCAATAAAAAGGATTTCCAATAAACAAAGATGTTTTTCGGCTTACCTTCCAATTTTCCATTCACTTGCGGGCAATGCAATACAAAACTTCTTAGATATTATGTATGTAGCTATATAGTTAGTGTTAAGTTTATCAACTAACTTTAAATCTCAAACTAAAACTAACCATTACAACATATTATATTTAATTTTGTATTAAGCTTTAAAAGCCGCATTGTGGAGAAGTTTTAAAATATTTTCTACTGCGATCTTTTTTGTCCTGCTGGAAATAATATCAGATGCTGTGTGACATACTTTTCAATACGCTACATAGTGTCTGAGTTTAAGTATCACGCTCATTCAACAGCGAGCAACAATAGCACAACAAGTGTGAACAATATTTGTAAAACAACTTGTGAAAATATTTTCTCAAAAAAGTTTTAATCCTCTAATTATAAATAAGCTGACTATATGTGACATTGATAGACTTTTGTACCTCTTTTATCACTTTACTCATTGGCAAACACTTTAACAGAACTATCTTAGGAGTTGTAAAGGTTTTAGGAGAAGCTACTTGTGGGCGACTTCCCAGTACAACTCTCTGGAGCAAAGATTATTGATTTGAAGTTGAATTCAATATTTAGAATGAAAATGATCATCAAACTGAGATGTGTTTTTGAACCAAATTTGGTGTACACTTTTTAACTCGTCCAAACATTTCCTTTACACCAAAGCTATAGCAGTTGGAATAACACAATTCCATTTCAACTTATTTTTGCAAAAGTCTGAGTGGAAAAATCACTTCAACTATTGCTTTAGCTGGGGCAATCAAACGTACTAAAAGTAAAAGACAGTGGCGTAAAAGTAAAACAAATGTAACTTCACTTCTTCTATGCTTTTACCCTTGCTTAATGAAATTATCAAAACAAAATAAAATTCATTTCTTTCAATACCCAAAGCTAATCTCCACCTTTCGTAGGTCAAGTCCTCCGTTATATAAGATAGACCTACAACTTGTTACATATCCTTAGATCCCTCTAATGTCAAATAATTTTGTTGTGCTACAACTGATCAATCCTCCTTTCAAGTTTTAAGCGCTCTGTTATGCTGCTCAAACTTTTTTCCCGCCAATGCATGTCTCAAGAATGTGCTAATAGTTGCATAAGTAAGGGCCTGTTTATATGGAGCCGAGTTACCCGGCTGAGCGAGTTACTCGCCTAGCCAGGTAACTCGGCCCTTATATAAAATGAATGCATTTCCCGGTGAATCGTTTATATGACACATCCGAGTAACTCGCCTTGCCGGGTAACTCGGCGAGGCGAGAAAATTGGCTCTGTTGGTACGCATGCGTACTAAGCCTTGTACTTGCAGTATTGTAATACAAAAACATACACATGTCATAATTTTCAATTTTATATTCACCCATTCCATTTTTGCAGCGAAACTGTGAGGCTTTTTAAAATCTCGCGTCTTAAAGGACACATGCAACATAAAATTCGGATTGTTATTTTTGTACTTTACATGAAGGTATAGCTCCAACTAATAGTTCACCAAAGTTTGAGACTCAAAGGATAAATATTTTTGAAGATATGGAGGTTTAAAGTTGATGCTTTATTGATAACGTATTGAAAATGCCCGACGAGCTAGCGACAGCTACCGATGTCGTTGTGACGTAATAGTTGACATTCGCTAAACGCGGTCAATTGCGCGCTTCGTTCAAAATGTATTGGTAACTTCTTAACAACACGACAATTTAGCATTGAAAATATGGTTTATTGTGCCGCATTTAATTGTAAAAACGGTTCTTCTAAGAACCACGAAACGCAGCAAAAGGTTTCATTTTTTTCGTTTCCCGAAAACAGAAGTGCTAGCCGAGTAAATAAAACGGAAGTGCTAGCCGAGTTACCCGGTGCCATATAAACAGATCACTTTGTCAAACCCAGCTAGGCGAGTAACTCGCGCAGCCGGGTAACTCGGCTCCATATAAACAGGCCCTAAGAAAAGAGCTCATTTTCAAAGCTTGTGATACAGTTGAACTTTATGTCTGTTGGAATTCCGATCTAAGAAAGCTGAATTTTTGAGACGATGTTAAAAATTTTGACAGTGAGATTGTCTGATTGTCGTTCCAGGTCAATTCCATCCAGGTATTTATAGTAACTGATAAAATGACGACATGAAGTATAGACCAGTATACCTTAAAATGGCGGGTGATACAAAAGTGAAAATATGTAAACAACAGCTCAAATAGCGTCTCGTCAAGGCAAAGAAATTTATTATACTGACACGAAATGGCCCAGTTGAATCAGTTGTTATTGGTTGCATCCATTCTAGAAGGTATGCATGCATTTACGCGCTATTCTTTCTGATGAATTAAGTGATTAAGTTTGGGAAATGTATTACTTACTTACTATAAATAGTAATTTTCTAATCAGTAACTTACTTCATGGGGCGTCGTAAGTCAGATGCATTTTCCCTTGTTTTTACCACCTTTTGTAGCTGATTTATAGCGTAGAATGTACTGTAGAATCATGTACTGACAAGCCAGTTGCCTGAGCCTGCTGATGTGACCATCTACAAAAAAACTTTTTTCTCTCAGAAGTCGCGAGATGCTCATAAAACTGTTACAAGATGATTTTTGCTTCCTATACGGATTTGACAATTATATGATTATAAAATGGTGACTATTCTTCAGTCAATTCAATGCTGTTGGCATGACAACATTTGTAAAACAATAGTACCATTTCCGCAAGATAAAATAGCACTGGCAGGGCTCAAAGTAAAACAAGGACCTGGTGAATTTCAGCCGGCCATTTAAAAGTGCCAAACTTTTACAACATGCTACCTTGTATATTTATTTTTGAATCTTTTATTTTCAAAATTTTGTGTGTTTCTGCTAAAAGTCACTCTGGATTGTATTTTAAAGATTTTTTACCCCTGCCAATGTTATTACTGTTGCATACCTACAACACATGTACAAATCCTAAAGTTTGGAATTTGAGAATTTTCGCTGAACTTTTAACTAAAAGATGGCTAACTTCTCCTTTTAGGCTCCATGTTATGGGATATTTATCATGATTTTATCTTTTGCTGTGCCTTTAGAAAATATAAATTTTTAACTATTTTATATGTCACGTTGAGGACCAATATTTGGATAAAATTTTGATTTGTAGTGTTGTAATAAAGCCCATATTCTTTGTCTAGTAAGTCGTACAAAGAGGTTTGAATTGACATTTCTAAACAGGTTAAAAAGCATGATTTTATGAAATTGACCAACTTCTTTAATATACTGCGCAAACATAAATTAACTTTAATTTTTTATTGAAATGATGTAAATGATCTTGTTTTTCTTTTAAGGTAGACGATTTCCACGAAGGCCAAAACATCAAGTGGTAGTTGAAGCAAAATTTGATGGCGAAACGCTGTCCACTGACCCAATTAATCACACCGAATCACCTAACTTTACAACTGAGTTGGCGTGGGAGCTAGATAAAAAGGCACTTCATCAACACAAACTCCAAAGAACACCAATAAAACTGCAGGTGCCTTGCATTTCCTTTCATTTTGTAATATCATCATAAAATTTTATTGCTCAACAATTTATGTTGTGTATTCAACCAATATTGTCTGACCTCTGGTATAGATATTATCAATTTGGATGGGTGAGACAAAGGTGGTGGAAAATTGATAATCAGGGGGGGGGCTAAAATCATTCATTCATTGTTACAATTTGTAATCACCGTGGACTTCAATAGAATTAATATGGTAAAACATGCATTTATCAATGTTACTTCCCTCCTGTGAGCTGTGGTAGTGCACATCCCCTAGCCTTGGCTAGGAGGGATGCAAAGGTGTGCAAATTTCCCTACAAAATATGTATTATTATACCATCCAATTAAGCTAAAACAATTGTCATACTCCACATTCCCCAGGTATCTAGTATAACCCACAAAAAGTATGACATGTGAATGACATAATGACAGACACAAATAACTGAAATAATCCCCCAAAATCTATTCGAAACTCAGCTGACTGAACGACATCTTATTAAAACTAGATTACCCATCCATACAACATTATCCTTGATCCACCCCTGTACAAACTAGCTGTCCTTACTAGGTTTTTACATGTTGGACCTCCCCGCACAAATTACTAATTATGACTTCATATGTTAAGCCAAATCTCAAGTACATCATTTTTATTATTTTCATAATCCATGGTAATGTTTTTGACCAGCACAAGCAAATCATTTTTATCATTAAATTATTGTTTGTAGTGTTTTGCCATTGACACCATTCTTTTGAACAAAGAGATGGTTGGTTATGTCATCCTGGATTTGAGATCAGCCCAAACAAAACTCAAGGTACTCAAAGAAAAGACTCATTTGATTTTTACATCCATGAATGCACGATTTTCAAGTTCTCCGGATTTAAAATCTTTCAAACAAGTTTTTTTCCCCAGCCATGTACGTATCATCCATTTCAATGCTGACAATACATTTATTTAGCGACCGCAATGGTTTCCTCTGTTGAACAGCAAATATCAACGTTTGAAACCTGAATTACAAATAGTGCTGAGTCTAGAGGACGAATCATTGAAAAAAGAACACGATCTGCCCCAACAACATTCCACTCCTGAAGGAAGAGGTTTGTGAAGGTCAATTTCATGCACTATACTCTACTATTCATCAATTTTAGTGCGATCAAACCATGCGTGTCGATATATGTAGATACGGATCAACCGTCTTAGCGACCATGGCGGTCAGGTTGCGTATGGAGACACAGGTCTACTATTTTAGTGAACCACACATGTCAACTTATGCAGACATTTCGGTGAACCATTGCATGTCTATACTTGACCATGCAGCATGTATGAAGACAATTTCGACCGTTTTAATCAACCATGCAGATCTAATTTTGGAGACACAGATTAACTATTTTAGTGAACCATGCAAGTCAATATATGGAGACTCGGGTCAGTCATTTCAGTGACCCACGCACGTCAAATTATGTTGTGACACACCGGTCAATCATTTCAGTGACCCACGTACGTCAAGTTATGTCGTGACACACAGGTCAATCATTTCAGTGACCCACGCACGTCAAGATATGTTGTGAGACACAGGTCAATCATTTCAGTGACCTACGCACGTCAAGTTATGTCGTGAGACACAGGTCAATCATTTCAATGACCTACGCACGTCAAGTTATGTCGTGAGACACAGGTCAATCATTTCAGTGACCCACGTACGTCAAGTTATGTCGTGACACACAGGTCAATCATTTCAGTGACCCACGCACGTCAAGATATGTTGTGAGACACAGGTCAATCATTTCAGTGACCTACGCACGTCAAGTTATGTCGTGAGACACAGGTCAATCATTTCAATGACCTACGCACGTCAAGTTATGTCGTGAGACACAGGTCAATCATTTCAGTGACCCACGCACGTCAAGTTATGTCGTGAGATACAGGTCAATCATTTAAGTGACCCACGCACGCCAAGTTATGTCGTGAGACGCATGTCAATCATTTAAGTGACCCACGCACGTCAAGTTATGTCGTGAGACACAGGTCAATCATTTCAATGACCTACGCACGTCAAGTTATGTCGTGAGACACAGGTCAATCATTTCAGTGACCCACGCACGTCAAGTTATGTCGTGAGATACAGGTCAATCATTTAAGTGACCCACGCACGCCAAGTTATGTCGTGAGACGCATGTCAATCATTTAAGTGACCCACGCACGTCAAGTTATGTCGTGAGACACAGGTCAATCATTTAAGTGACCCACGCACGTCAAGTTATGTCGTGAGAAACAGGTCAACAATTTTAGTGAACCGTGCATGTCAAGTTAATACGCATGGAGATATGGTCAACGATTCTGTGAACCATATAGGTCAAGTTATACTGACTGAGGTCAGATATTTTAGTTTGCCATACATACGTACATGTCAAGTTATAAAGACACAAATTAATCATTTTAGTGAACGATACAATTCATGTAGACACTAGTCAACCATGATAGTAAACCTTGAAAGTTACGATAATGTATGTGAACCATGCATGTTGAGAATCAATCAAAATGTTGTTTGTTACAGGTGCAATGATTCCCTTCTCCTTTGAACCAGTTCTTAACGAAGAAAAAGGTTTTTATCAACTGGGGCCTGATGACAGCAAATCCGAGGTTTTCGTTCTTTCTTTGGCAATTAGCTACGCCGTAAACTTAGCAAAGGTAGGGAAAGAATCTAAAGACATAGAATAATAAGTGACAAATTTAAAAATTGTCTTAAAAAGAGCATCGTGAATGGTCAAGTAGTTCTTAAAAGAACCGTTTTAGCCAGAACACTTAACCAGCAATTCTAAAATAACTGTTTTCAAAGATGAAAGACACTATGCACCAGACACTAAAAAAATGTCGTTTATTGACGTTGACACCTTATGAGTAGTCTGCCGAAATGCATAGTGTCTTTAACCTTTAAAAATAGTTATTTTAGAATTGTTGCTTTAGTGTTCTGGCTTAAACATTTCTTTTAAGAACTACTTCGTTAGCATTTGACCATTCACCATGGTATTTGCTCTTGTTATGTAAGTATGATTCTTCAATGACTTATACAATGTTCTTCTTGCTGACTTGCACAAAGCGAGTTTGGGTGGTAGAAGTCGCCTAAACGTTTTGCTGTGTAGTGGTGAAGCCCGTTCGAATTTTTTGTTTTGTTTATGCAAATTCTTTCTGCAAATTTACAGAATTCCCCAGAATATATATAATAATTGTATAGCATGAGTATGAAAATCAGGCTGGCTTCATCATTCACTGGGCTGTTATAAAAAGATGCTGTTGAAATGGCTCTGTTGAGCATTGACTTCAATGGCGTCTTAATTAACGCATTTCCTCTAGGTATTTATTCATTTGCCCCATTTTAGCCCTCCTTCTACTAATCCCACTCGTCAGAAGTAGCAAATAAAAATAAACTTTCACCGTTTGTTCATCCTCCACTTTCAGTAAATAGAAACTCACAGGAAAGTCAATGTCACGAGAAAATCATAACAAGCGTTTGTTCGTTTGAAATTTACTATTGTAAAAGTCAAAATAATCAATTGTTTTGTGTAAAAAATTCATTCAAAATTATAGTCATGCGTTGTGTAAGTTTTTCTTCAAAACATTCAAACTGCACTTATGCACTAACTGCATTGGGTGTTTTAAAAAGAGAATCAAATATCGAAGCGTTTGTTGCTTGAATTGGTGTACACTAGTAACTTTGCGTTAAATTCATTTACTCCCATTCTCTTTTTAGCTCACCCTCCTAATAATCCACCAATCAATTGAACAGTTGCAATGTATATTAAACGCACGGGTGTGTGTGTGATAAATAAAGGAAATGCTGTGGGTTAAGATTCCTTCAATATACATATACTTCCCAATACTCTATTTTAGTCGGATGCAGTTTATGCTTTACACTCAATATCCTGTGATTATTTTTCAATTTTCTTTATCCTCTTTTAATTTGTAGCTAATTCCATCGTCATTTGTAGTGCCTAATGGACAGGGATTTTATTTCCAATATACACTCTTCGGCAATAAAGTCTCCAGTGAAATATTCTGGGATATAGTCCAGCCGGAATTCGCTCCCGAGCGTGCATCCGTGAGGATCAATTCGCATATGAAACTGTTGCGGACATTGCTACATTCTTTTTCTGGCGTTAAGGTGAGTATGTCAATAGTGGTTGCAGCAGGGGTTTTATTGGGTGAAGGTGCTTTGCTTAGTGAGGACCCCTACGTACCCCCTCCTGTATCCTTTGATCATGCCGTTTGTTTTTTTCACAGACGCATAATGGTTTCCATTTTTAGCACCATTCTTCACTTACGTACCACAAGTTGTGTTTTTATGTTTTTATTTTTTACTAACGAGCGTAGGGCAAAATCCCAGTCTTTCCTCCAATCTGATTGGCTGTACAAACAGGCGGAGTTTACTATGTCTAACCACGGTCCTGAATCCTATACATAAATACTGGAGCGAAGGGTTGTTTTGCTTTTGCTTGTTAGGTTCTGTTTGGTTCTTATTTTTTTATTTAGTTTCGCTTTTTTTTGTTTTGTTTTGTTTTGCTAAATGCTTTGTTTTGTTTTGTTTTGTTTTTTGTTTTTTGTTTTTTGTTTTTTGTTTTTTGTTTTTTGTTTTACAAAGAAAATTATCAGGCAACTTTTGACTGTAAAATCTATTTTAAGGGAATTTTGAGTTTTCCAAAATAAAATGAATTGCAAAGTTTTGATTTTTTTTCGTTGCCGCCATTGTTCCATCATTGAACACCACAATCTACATAAGAAGACTATATATAGCTTTTAGCAAAAAAAATGCCCGTTGTTTACAGTTGAGGTCGGTCAGGAAAAAATGTTTTCGATAGTTTTCGGCGAATTACATCACATATATTGTAAGTTGTCAAATTATATTTATCGTCACCAGATCACTCTATACTGTGGTGGGCGTCGACTGGGCCAAGCAAATGTATCACTTCAATCTTTGTTACCTCTCGAGAAACCGTTTATTTCTCCTGCGAAAATCGAGGCGTTATTTCCACTTGTTTCTGCCGCTACCGACTCTAATCCAGCCAGCGGTACTACTGATATACCTTCCGTTGGTGTTTCCGTTATTTTGAAAAGTGAAGAGTCGTTCAATTCTTCGCCTTTAGACAAACAAGTAGTGGACAATTCTTCATGCGAAAGTCACGTGGTATGTTATTTCTACATCATCTGTACTCCTAACTCATTAGAAACTTTTCATGATTTATAATTCGAAAGACGTGAAAAATTATTGATTTTGCGATAATCCTAATTTTATAAATATAACCGCGATACTTGAAATTATACGAATGAAGTGACTTCAGTAAATCTCTTAACTGATTTTATTACGACATAAGATCACGAAAAGACGCATATGAAGCTTTGACCACCTAATCGTCTTTTTATGTAGAGGAATTTATTTGCATTGTAATAAATGGTTTACGTTATGTAAGAGTATCCATCATGATTGGTTTGTTGGAATATTCAAATGTATATACATACTGTATACATGCTTGTTGCATTTGATTGTAGCTATGACTTGTCCGTAAACTGTTATCTCAAACATCTGCGAATCTGCCTCAGCAAACGTTCTTTGAACCTCTTTTGGACTGTTTGCATGAAGACTGTTTCATTAATTTTTGTCATAGTAAATGTTAAAAAAAAGTACGCAAGATGTCTGTTTTGATCAACCGTATTGACATACGAAAAAATTGATGATGACGTTATTTTAAGGTGCAGAAAGTGGAAACACTTGGCTATGAAACACAAGGAAAGATCTCTGTAGAAGCAAACCTCAATCCGAACTTAGCTGAGAAAATTGATAGCGAAAAAAGTCCAAAGGCATTGGGCGTCGCACAAAAAGATCAGCAACCTTCGTTTCACCATTTTTGTTATTCGATTGATCTTCGCAGTATCAGTAACCTTCAAGTTACGTCACCTGTGAACTGCTACTTAAAGTAAGAGCAATCGATTGCTGTGAACGGGTATTCCCTGAATTTATATACATTGTCTCCTTTAGACCTTCAACTTTGTTTTCATGCTAACTGTCTTGCAGCCTATACTATAACAATTAGTTTTTTTCATATAATTTTCACAATTTTACTTTCATTGTATGTTTTTGTTAAAATTTGGTACCTATATGAGCAGCATAGAGCTTTTGTTGTTTATAAACAACTGGTCACGTGTAAAGTTAACAGTAATCTGAAAACTTATTGGCGGATTGTGCTGTTTCTATCAAGTTGGGAAAAGGGTTAACGATTTGCTTAAATGACTTGGGGAATTGACTATCATCAATGTTTTTTTTGGGCGTATGTATTTTAAAACTCTTTCACCGTTTTACGGTAAAACAACATGTTTAACAACCCACTTTAGTATTCGCCAAACGGTTTTGTCTTGAGAGTCAGCTCAGTATATTTAGCCATGCATTCACAGTTTTCTGTACATACAGTGTCGAAATATGCACCGAGATCCGTCCAGTCACTGCGGATACATTAATTTAACTCATACACTTATTACTATTTTAGATACTCATATCCATTCTTCGGATGCCCGACACCTATTGTTACCAGTCCTCCTGTGGAAGTGCGCCAACACATGGAAGTTCCGTTGCCTAAATCGTTTTGTGCATTCGATTTTGCTACGAGTCCAACTATTCTTAAGGAGACTTTGTTAAGGTGCAAACATGAATTTTTTAGATATAATGCATGATTGTGACGTTTAGCAAATTGACGGCTCAAAAGTTTTGAGTGATCAAATGATGTTTTTTTGACAAGTTTGTATTTTACATTTGTGAAATGCTCAGCAACACTTTTTAAAGACATCTTTAGCAACCGAAATTTACTTGTTTTATTAAAAAATCATAAAATTTATTTGCTCGACTATCGCAGTCATACACATCACGAAGATTTCATCCTTGCCATACATAGCTAATGTCTTGTTTTGACTAGATATTTAACAATTGTTGGATTAGGTTGAGCATGATATCAGAATTATTCAGACCGAGGTCGATGTGATCTGCCGCAACGAAGCTGAGGAAGATAACATTGGCTAAGGTCTGAATGATTCTTGACATCATGCGAAATCCGAATTCAATAATAATGTTTTACTATACAATTACCTATAAATGCAGAAGCTTTCAAAATATTTTGTACGTAAGCCATAAATCTTTTCAGTGTTGCGACAAACAAAAATTTTCGCTGTTCTTTTTTTTTGTCTTTTTCCGTAAATAGTCGATGAAGAAACTCTCCTGACTGACAATGTGGCCCTTTTCGTATCCTGATTCTATCGAAACAATTTGTAAAATGCTTCCATCTCTCGAGCAAGATTCCGCCATAATATATTTCTGTTTGCAATTTTCACATTACCATTTTAGGTCATTCACAGATAATTTAAATGTTTTGTAGGTGACAATATATTGAGAACTATCTGTAGGCTCTTAAACAGTCGCAGTCGTATAATAATCACTTCTACAAGCGCAGATACTTAAGTAGTGTTGTACGCAATGGCGTAAGCCAAATTCAAGATACTTTTTCCATGCAAATTCTTTAAAATATTACGTAATTCAGGTAAATACGCAAACAAATCTACCATGCATTCCTGCTTACGTCGTGTGTAACAACTGAAGTCTTCTCGAGGAATTATCGCAAAAAATCATTCGATATTTTAATGTTCACTGCAACGTTTGTGACATGTTCTTCGTACCAGGTGAAAAACGACGCACACCTATGAAGTTTATCGTAAATTGTTTATTCTCTGAAAACTTTGAGTATCAGCTATTTGATTAAAAGTCTGCTCTTTTTCTATCCCACCAGTGTTCCCTTGCTGATTGAAGTTTATCATCGTGACGCTCAAGCGAAGGACGTCTTGCTTGGTATTGCTAGGGTAACGCTGGGTCAAGTGTTTTCTGCCGAAAAGCTGCACGCTGCCGTAAGTATTACGTGAAAAAATACAAAGTTCATTTCTCGATGTATTTTTTTTACGCATGCGCTTATTCTTCTATAATTTTGAGTCCAGGAATGCAGGACATTAAGACGTTTCTAACCAACGTCAATGTTATAGCAATGCTTATTTTAGAGGGGAAAGCAGAGCACTTATGGACAGATCTTGAGAGTAAAAGTTCACATAATGGCGGAAGATATGTGAGAACTTAGTTTTTTTTCCTTTCTTGAAGATATTGCGGCTAACCTGCACTGTTTTTTTTTTTTGAAGTTTTTATGTGGTGCTTACAAACGGTTTCTCTCATTTAGAAAACCTGTGGGCGAATTGAACATTATTTTGGGATTAGAGGATCTCGGACCCGTGTCACCTGAGCACTTGCAAGCTCATGTCAACAAACTTGAGGTAAGAATTTCACCAGAGCTTGATGTCATCATGCATAATTTTACGTGAGAAAACTCGCCATAGAAAATGAAAACTATACTAAAGGTCTGCTTACATGAAGATACCCCTTTACAGCGTGCGCATCTTATTATGTTGGTAGCTCACACGCTGGAGAAAAATTTATCATTGTATAGTCACTAAAATTGAATTGAATTTTATTTTTGAAATTGTGCATAATTCCTTCTCAATTGTCACGTGTTGACTGATACCGTAAGAAACAATGTGTTTTGTCTACCTGAGACCCTTCACTGTTTCCCGAGATTTCAGTCAATAATTTTTGAAGACTGAGAAAGTCGACAAGAGAAAACTGACAACAACATAAATAGACGAAATATTTTCTTGAAGAAATAGTAAAAAAATACTTGGAAAGATTCCCGCTCTTTTTTGATCAGAACGTGATTTTTGTATTATATACCGGTCGATAACGTATATTGTTATACACCAATTTTCCAAGTTCATCATTGGTCGAGAGTGAGTCACGTGAGAGCGAAGACATTCAACTGTTTCCTCGCAAATAGCTCGAGATTGAGTAAATACGTCAATGACGGCAATGTTTTGGAGTACGACACATATGAATTGCAGTCAACCTAAGCGAATTTAGATGAAAAACTTAAAAAATTGTCCAAAAACAAAAATTATAGCTTTTTATTAACTCGAATCTCAGTCAACAGCATGGTTCAATTACCGCGCGGTCAATTTAGCGTTTATGACGTCAATTTGTTAGCACATTGCAAGAGATAGCTAGTAACGAAGATGGAAACTAACAAACCAACGCCATGAGGCGGCCGATATTGCGTTGCAATAATACCTAATAAGGTTAGCTGTAAAAACACGATATTAAAATTAATAAACAAAGCTTGAATGCAAACAAATTGACGTCACGCCATTGTGCAAGCTCTAAAACTCGTCCCCAACCCCCGAGCCAAATAATGTTATTTATTGCAGAGCAGTGTTGAGTGATTTTCAGTAAACAAAAAAATAAAATGACACTATTTATTTTCTTAACTAAAAAGATAATCGTCTTCCGATTTTAAAGAAAGAAAAATTGGCTTCATGACACCTTCAAGGTTGTATGAAGTTTTATCGTTCAAACCGACAATATTTTAACTGCTGTTGGCCATACTCTCCCTTCTGACATGTTAGGCATCTCTGACCACGAGAAGCTATCAAATGTAAAACATTCGACTGATTTGAAGGCATTACGCTCTTCATCGCCACCTCCCATGACAACCAACGTGTCTTCGACCACGACTGCTACACATCCCCTTCGCTTGTAGATCATGTCAGGCAGAGCATAGCTTTTCTGAGTTCGTATATTATACAAAAGAACTTTACTCAATGGCTTCCCTTTGCTGTCCCCACCACCGGCAATAATAAGATTGTCTTCACCCCATTTCACCATACCCATTTCATACACTGCATACGTAAGAGGTTTTAAATCCTCGAACGCTTTCTTTTTTAAATCATATTTTGTTACCTTACTGAGAGCTGATTCCGTTTGCTTACCTCTTCCTCCCACTATTACAATTGCGTCATCAAAGATTGCTAGGCCATGACGTAATCTCCTCTCGGGCATAACCGTTAAAGTGCGTCTCGCGTAAGGTGGTGACAAGGCCATTTCTGTTATAAAGCTTTCATCGTCACCATCGTTGAGCAGCAAGCTTCCTCCGTAAACTGCGCATTGTTGAGTTCGCAGCGGAGATGGTAAGATGGTGTCAACCTTTTGCCAAGCCTCATGTAATTTTTCGCGAAGTGTGCTGACGTGTAATTTTTCCATAGAAAATTTAGCTGTACCGTTTAAGCCTCCAAGAACAAAGATGTGATTATTGTGTACGGCTGACGATAAAGAGTTGCGACATACATTCATTTCGCCCAACTTCGACCAGGTCTTTGTTCGCCAATCAAAACATTCCACTGATCGTAAAGCTTTCCTTTCGAGTTTTCCTTTCATTCCTCCAGCTACGATGATTTTTGCTTGATCACGGCCGGGGTCTACCTATAAAAAATATCATTTAGGATCGCTAGCTTCATCAAAACGTGGTCGTTGAACAATTTTTGCACACATCCATAGACAGCAGAAGCTTTCAAGAGTTGCGGGTGCTTTATATTCGCCATATTATAACGCAAGAATTTTAGAATAGTAATGAAATTGTTTCATATTAGTAATTCTCAATCATTTTTTCTTCTTTTTCGAGCAAACATTACAAAAATCCTCTGAAATCCCTTGTTTGTGTTTCATTACATAAAAATAACTTGCACATTTTGTAAATGTTTAAACTATTTAAAATTACGTGGTTCTTGGTGCCTATTCGATAATTTGAAAATTTGGTGCACCTATCATATACGCTCGAGTGAGAAGCTAAATTTGTTGGTGCCCTATAAGGTTATATACAAAAATTAATAATAATAATTAAGTGGGGCGAGTGGCTGAATGGTTTATGGCGTGAGCTGCAAGCCAGACGGCGCGGGTTCGATCCCGGCTCGTGGCACATTTGGCAGCTTTGTTGATTATTTAAGGAAGTACTATGCAGCCAAACAACTAGGATTCATAATTTACTTAACTCGATAAAAAATTCTTAAAAAGCTAATCTCATTTTCATTATGCAAGGTTCACTCATCTGCATGCCTAGAAATCTACAACAGTCCGAGGCCCTGGCACCTTCAGCTAGGACAATGATGCACCCATCGTTTCAAGTGAGCGTTGATCCTCCCCTGCTATCCGGCATCCATTGTAAGCACGATCAACATTACGATCGGAAGATATTTTATTCACGCAGCATAATGGGCTCATATTTCTTCTCCGAAGTCATCGCTATTCACTAAACGCCACTTTTATATGTAATTCTTATATGTAAAATGCTTGTTGCACTCCTCTAACCAATTACATTACAGGGTTACAGTGCTGTTTTTATGTACACGCTTATAGCATTCTTTTTTTAAGAAAATTGCCTATATCAGGGTAAGGGAAATAACTTCTTCAGATTGCCAGATCGATTTTGAGAACATTTACAATATGTATGGTATATCGAAAAAGTTATAGTCATCGAATTTTTGGGCCTAGAATTGAGTGACTCTGCACCGGAAGTGCGTTAAAGGACGAAAACGCAGTTCTATACTTTTTAAACGTTTCCTTGATTATTCATTAAAACAATGTCGTCAAACTATGCGTACGCGTACTCTTATATTTGCAGTTTAGATTTTAAAGAAGATTTGCAACAACTGTGTTTTTATGTATAGTAAAAGCTTTGCTCGTGTTCTCTATTTTACGTCACATCCGGTGCCGAGTCATATTTCTACGCCCAGACAGCCGGCAATGAGGATGAAATTTTCGTCATGTCAAATATATTGCAAATGTTCATAAAATCGATCTAAAGAAATAATATCCCTGACCTGATATAGGCATTTGTATCGTGATATAGTTCCTTAGAAAAAACGAACTTTCTATCCGTATTTATGTTATTGTACATTTGTGTGTACTTACAACGTGTTGAACTTTCGTGGACTGTTCGGTCAGCTGCCTGTTATCATTGCTTAGTGCTGTTTCTCGTACAAACGCTGAATTGTTTTCCTTTACACTTATTTTGTCCATGTGTTCTTGAATCTGCTTCACCTTCGTATTCACACTCATCACCGCACTTTTTACATTCTTTTCGACTCGCTCTATCTTTTTCATCAGTTCGGTATTATTGGATGCCTGAATACTCACAAACTCGTCCACTTTTTCATCGAATTTCTTAAGTAATTCTCCGAACAACTTGTCACCACTCTGCTTAAAGCGATCGTCGTCATAAACTGTTTCCTGCATTGTTGATTTTTTCTCTATGGACGACATATTCTTATTTACTTCTTATATTTTACAAATCACGTTTGTGCGTAGCATTTTAATTCATTTCTCTTAGAGCTACGATAAAAGTTTACTTGTCTGCGTCCATCAAGCGACCTATTCATCATATTTACTTTATGTTTATAGACAATGTCGCCGAACCGTTCTGCTTTGTTGCGGATGCTGAACGTTTTCTAAGTGGCTATTTCCGAATCCTTTATCAACTTCTGACTTATGAAAAATCATTGCCAGTTCTGTGTTTGCCAACTTTTCAGTTTTAAAGCGTTGATGTGGCAACTCGCAATGTAGTTTAGTTCATTCAGTGACCGAATATTCTGCACAATTTAAATCAGCGCTTGAGGTGACTGATATTTATTTCTTGCAGCGTCTCCGTGAAGACACACAAAAAGACGAATCCCCTGTCGAACGTCGGGAAATAGGCAGTAGAGACAAGCAACGTGCGAAAATTGAATCAAGAAGCGACGACCCCAGACAAATGGCTGAATATCAAATCGCTCTTGAATTGGAAATGTGGAAGCAACAACAAGAGGAATTGTTTACTGCACAGGTTTCCTAGCAAAGTGTTTGTTTATACATTCATACAGTTTACTGCTACTATTGTTTTGAAGACATTGTGCATTCTTGTGGAGTTTTCTTACCCAAGAATGTGCTTAGTTATGCAAGTTCATACAGCTTACTGCTACTATTGTTTTGAAGACTTTGTGCATTCTTTCGGATTTTCTACCGGAATGTGCTTAGTTGTGCTACTGCTATGGCATTTTGTCATTAAAATAATAGCTGCCTACAAGTAATAAGCGCGCAAAGCATCATGGTTAAAAATTGTTTTTAATTGTATGCCGTAACTTTAACATATATAAGGAATCGCGCAGTCCGTCTTTAGCTATTGCTCCATAAAATTGAGGTGTTCTTTTACACTGTGCATTTTTTTGCTCTTTCTGCTTCTTAAATGTGCGATTTTGGATCTTTAGTTGAAGGCGAAAGAGATGGAAAAAATCAAAACACTGACAGAAGAATGGCGAAAACGCGACAAGGAACGAGAGATTTTGACGAAGAAAAAAGTAACGCCCGATTTCACTAATTTTGTTTTCGGTGTTGATAAATTACACAAACAACCTAAATAGTTATGAAGAATCAAAATGTAATGCAGCAAATTTAGCTACAGTATAACTTTGGAGTTTTGTTTGAGCATTCACCAATGATGCCGTCATAATGAAGTACAATAACAATAAGAAATTAGAAATACATTAAACTATGATACGTACTCATAGGCTTGACCATTACGTATATATTTGTCATTCATTGTAAGTTTGAAATAATCATCGACATTAGTCATTGAAATAAGGAAATAAACGTTTTCTTCAGATCGAGGAATACACGCAACTAGAAGAGACGCTTAAAAAGACAATAGTTGACATTGAGAAACGAGAAAAACAGCTGACGGCAAATGAGAATGAGGTTTGTTCATTATTTATTTTGGTCACTCATTAGAGTTGGTTAAAAAATTGAAAGACAAACAGTTGTTTGAAGAAATGGAATTTTAACTTCTTCATAAAAGCGCAATGCAAGCTTTCTTGTAGTCCTTGTGACCAGGTCGAATTAACTTTTCAGGAGGCCTGGTGCCTACCTTGTGGTGGATAGCCTTTCTTGCTCAAGTTTACTTTGACAGCAGTTTTTTACCACATTGTTAAACATCCTTTGCACTTTTGAAAAACTAGTAGTCATATATTTCGCTTGAGATTATAACTGGCCCCAGTCCAAAGTAGGGAAGTGGTCGTTGTTCAACAGCATTAGTTCATTCCTATTATTGACATTATCTCAGTAGTCGTCGTATGTGTTATCACTATAAAGCGTTTTCACTGATCTGGTGGATAGCCCATTTTTGCTTCTTTCACGCTGACTGACCCAGGCCCTTTCACCCACCTCTTAATTCGTCCTTGCTCCTGAGCATTTTTTGTGAAATCGAAAATTTATTTCAAATTATAAGACATTTTTAGGATACTCCTTAGAATGGAGAAACAAAACGTGTTGTTGCGTAGCCTTACAAGCTCTTTGATTTGTCGTCGGCTTTTGGTTGGCCATCGAATAAAAACTCAATTTTTCGAATTGTTGATTTTTATTTTCCCTACATTTTTGACTTTTCTCAGATGATAAAAACAAGAGAAGAGCAAAGACGAGAACACGAGAGGAAAATGGTGGAGCTACGTGAAGCGTCGAGACGTATGAAGGAAGATTGTGAACATCAAATTGAATTGGAAAGGTTTGGCGCTCATTCAATCTAGCCAATAATCTTGAAGCTTTAGCATCAAATCACTGATGAAAACATTTTAGAAGACTGTAATTTCGATGCATGGCTATTTCAAATTTCGTTATCAGATTTTTAGCTCTAATTATATTCAAGTTTCATCGACAGATTAGTACGGATCACAACACAAAAGAGTGTAGTTTATGAGTATACCATACATAGTTTAGTTTGAGCTGATGATCAGTAGAGATATTGGGGACGTGTTTTTTACTATTTGTAGGGCAAGAGTCCAGCAAATCAATGAACAAAAACAGGCGATAATTCAACAGGTAATGAAAAGCAAAAATACAAGAATATATTTTTGGGAAGTTACTGTATTGATTCTCCCTATCACAGTACTTGATGCGTATGAGCAGAGCGAAAATTCATATATAAAGAACAAAGAAATAACAACAACACGCCTGTTTCGTGCGCAACTCGATTGCTCCTTGTTCAGAGATTTTTAAACAGTATTGATATGTATATGTATGTTAAATCTGTAGTTTTTTAGCCAGACAAAAACGTTCTCGCAAGATAAGACATTTTACGCTAGACTTCAACAAACATGTCTGCAATTTAACTTTGAAAACATCTTCGACAGTTACATGATATGGAGAAGAGGTATCAGGACAAGGAAAACGAGTTTTTGGCTTTCAAAGAAACGCAGATGTCTAAACCGGAAGTAAAAATGGAAGCTGAATTGAGTCTCTTGCGTGTTGAAAAAGTAAAGCCATATTTTGTTATTTGTAACAGAATAAATAAAGTAAATGTGACTTATCAGTTTATTTCATACACAGAACATCAGCTAAAGTCTTCAAGGCAGTGTCTGTTCTATTTTACCGCACAAACGTTCAATTGTTGAAGTGTTAATGCAGTGAAAAGTGGCAATTTTCGGCACTTCAAGTGCGAGTTTTTTCGGCTGCCACGTTTTTGAAGTTTTCTTGTCTGTTCAATTTTTTCGTGCACCCTGTAGTACAGTTAGTATATATGAATAGCGGTTAGCAATTGAATAAACTATTGCATGTATTAAAGGCCGAATTACAAAGAAAGTTGGAATGTGGAAACAAATCAAAGATTCACTACAAGCAACAATGGGCCAAAGCGTTGAAAGAACTTGGGAAGGTAAAAGAAAACGAGCAAATGGCTGCTAGAACAAGGTTGAAACAACAAGAGAAAGAATTGGAGGAAATGAAACTTAAATATCTCGCCGCTCAAGAAAGAGAGGTTGGTGGTCGAAGTAGCTACATTTAACGTTTGCGTTTCATTAAATTGCTAACTTTTTCTCTATTTTTTGTGACATTATTTTTCGACAAGCGTTCTTTGAAGTTTTGTGCATCACTTTTATTCAGATATCAAATACGGATCGCCAGGAGCTAGAAAACATGAAGAACGAGCTAAATAGGTAAATTGAAGGTCTCGATGAAACTGGTCCTTCCTAAATGGAATAAAAAAATGTTATTTGTATGATTTATCTCATGAGAAGTCCATGTATGGGTAGTGTGTAACCATTCTCCCGAGGGTGAACGAACAAAGGAATTTTCGCCCTTTTGGATGACATTTGCATCGCAAATAAAAAAAGTCCCTCGTCAAAATCATCCAACATGGCGGCCATGACGTCACATGCACACCAAGACTACTGTCTTCATTAGTAGTGAGAGACTTGCCTCGTCTTTTTGTCTCGTTGAATTCGTTTTCAAAATTTTCTATGGTGATGTCAAGTGCTTAATATGAAGCTCTTGTGCTTAGTGCATGTATATACTGCTCATTTTCTTGAAACATTGGACGTAGCAGTTCTTTCATGTGATTTTTTGTCGTTAAGATTAAAAATCGTTGAACGCACAAAGGAAGAATCTGTAGCTCGAGAAGAGCGCCTAAAGTTGAAGCAAGAAGAGGGAATGATGGCGGCTTGGGAAAGAGAGGAAAAACAACGTAAAGAAGAACTTGATAGTAAAATAGCGAAACTCATCGAGGAACGTGACACTTTACTACAAACGGGAGTTTACACCACTGAAGATCGAATTATATCCGAACTTGACCGACAAATACGAGAAGCTATAGCCCAAAAGACGTGAAGCAGCATCTTTCCTGTAAGACGGGTATGATATTTTCCATCGCGTGAGTTATAAAGTGGAATAAAAAAGTTTTGTTCCGCGCTTATGTAAGTCACATTGTTCATATAAGAATATGTGAATTAACAGCTTTGATTTGTAGTTCACGCTGAAAGAGTATAGAAGCGCATCCTTAAGTTTTTTGTGCAACGTTGCTTCAACTGCAGATCGCAAACTTTCAATCTGCGCGATTTAAGCGAGACTGAATTTCCCGTGTTTCTTTAGAGTTGGAAGAAACACGAGTTTTTCGAGTATTAAATCAATAAGCGTCCATGTTTTGCAAGTTTATTTTACAATAAATAGTCGACTGTGTTAGGTTGATTTCTGTGCAGATTATGTAAACACTGTCTCTTGATCGGCTGAAAAGCAGTGAAAGCAAAGCAAGCTTCTTTTCATTTCAATAAAAACATGGCGGCAGTTTTAAGTAAACAAATATTTCTACCATTGCAGTCGTATGAAATTCAAGAATGACGAAAAAATACAAAGAATAAAAAAACAACAGTTCGTACTGTTTTTTTGGTGACTTTTTAAAAAGCTAGGACGTGCAACGAGCCTTTCTGAAGCGATGGAGAGCGACGAGCACTGATATGTATAATGGTAGCGAAATCATTGTTTAAAATGTTACCGGTAGTTGTGCGGAGCCACTTTATTCGTAGGCGTCATTTCTCTACATGAAAATTGTAGATGCGATCTTTTTCGGCTTGTATGCGTTTTACTCTTTTCCTATCACTTTGAGTTTTTTTTTGATTTATAAGAAAGCATCTAATAGATGCTAGTAAAAAATCTTATCTGATCCGTGTTCATAAAACCTGAAAAACGGATCTATAAGTTTTATGAAGACCTTGTTTAGAGCCATTATATAGCACTCAGGAGTCGAATAAAAAATAAAGTAATTGGATGACGAAATGCAAACAGGGTTTATCATTCCTATGAAATGCGTAGATCAATGTGCTCGATACCGACATAATGAAAAAATTATGATACGAGACTGCTAAATAATGACCACATTGCAAATTCGTCTTAAGTTATGTTTACCGAAACATTGCACGATGTCAACTCTTAATTTCATTATACATTTAGACCACGGGCCGAATATTTTTTTTATATTTTCTCAGAATTTTTAATGTAGCCATCGGGAATGAACAACATGTGAACATCGGACTGCATCCAAACTCACTTCGCTTTGTCGATTTTTTCATGATATTTTATACAGAGTTATCAAGTTCATGATACAAGACTACAAGAAGTTTATATATTTTATATTTTATCGCCGTATATACTGTCACACATTTTGTTTTCAATGCTGTTAAATAGAAACGTGTTTAGTCGTGACTCGATTCTTTCGAAATTTAATTTCATCTTTCGTCTTACCATTGAATGAAAAGCTAATTTTTGCATAGCATGCACGAGTAAAAATTAGGCTATTCATTTATTTTGTGATTGCTGGGGGCGAACAAATGTCATGCAAAAATATGTAGATATTTGTTTACTCAATATTACAAAGGAAATTCACATTTATTCTTCAAGATTGACCGTTTATCCTTATTAACAAAGGTTTCGATCTTTCTGATGGCGATTACTGCTAAGCAGCAATATATCTCATACAATTATGATAAGTTTTCGATGAAGCTATATGGTAATGGCTCGCACCTCAATCTTCTCTAATTTAGAATCACAAAACCAATGCATAGAAACCTCAGTATAGTAACTTTAAAATCGAAATAAACCAGGGGGCAAATGACATTGGCCCCAACTTGTGTTTCATGATACCTACACGAACATATCCATAATCATATAAAACATGTTCTATGTTTGTTTATACATACTTGTGGTAAGCATTAATCGCGAAGAAAAAGAAAGCCTTAGGCTGTTATGAAATTGAAGTAGATTTTGCTTTTAAAGTTGCATGTGTTGTCGTGGGGTCTAATTTAAATATGTATATTTCATTTAAAGTGCTTATCTCACAATTTTTTTTTTCGAATTTTCTGATTGAGGTAAAAAAATCATTGTAAAAGTTATTTTACAATTTTCTCATTGATGGCTTCGTTTATGAGATAAATGCGTTTCTTTTCTCAAAATCGGCAATAATGGAGAAAATTGCTGCGCGTTCAATTTGCTTGATGAGAGCCTGAATCGAGAAGTATGTGACGTAACATAAGGACAAGGAAGTTTTTCTGAAGTGTGACTTTTGCTATAATTTCTACTTTATTTACTACGACTCTGCATCAAAATGCCTGATAGATGTGCAGTTTTCGGCTGTTCAAACCGAGCAAATTCTGCGGAAAGAATTTCTCTTCACCGTATACCATTTTACGGTGATGAGCGTCCTGAAGCGAAGCGAAGACGTAAAATCTGGGTGAATTTTGTTGCAAGAAAACGCGCTCGATGGACACCGACTAAGTATTCGGCTGTTTATCATTGTGATGGCAAAGAAATTTGGGCAAAGTTCAAATCTTTCCTGAGTCACATAGTAGACAAGCACACCAATTTGGATAATCCACTGTTTTCAAGTTGTTTTCATGGCCCTGATATTAAACCAAGGGAATATTTGTTAGAAGGTTTGTGAAGGCATTATTTAAAGATAACTTCCCTAACAGTTTATCATCATTCTTTGTTGTAATGTTTAAGGTTCAGTTGCTCATGAAAAGCTTAGTGCTAAATTTTTAAACCCACAGCTGATGAAGTCAATTCACCTGGCTTCACCAGTTGCTCAAACAAGTTGTTTGGAAGGATTCCTTTCTGTCCTGAATCATTTTGCTCCAAAAATGATTCATTATTCCTATGTTGGAATGTATTGCAGGTGGGCGAAAATTTCCAATATGACAATGTTAGTTGTTTTGCAACTTCCTCAAGTCTTTATTGTTTAGGACACATTTTGGCATCCATCCACTTCAACAACAACTTAAGGCGTGATGTAAAGATGAAGAATGATGGCACTTTCCAAATAAATGTAGTGTATCCAAAGTTTAAAAATGGTGAAGGAACTGTGAGGGATGTCAGAGTTAAGTCCAAATTTGGTAAGTTGTTGCTAAATGTGTTGCTTTGCATCATTTCATAGTATTGAATACGACAATAATTTCTTTTTAGAGTATGTGGATGAATTATTTGAGAGTGTGATGCTGTCAATAAAAGACAAAGACGCATTATCAAATTCACAAAATCTTTTGAAAGAAATGTCTCCACCATCAATGAATGTCATGCTGCAAAAGCAACCCAGAGCTGAGGTGTTACTAAAACAGGTCCGTTGAAAATGCATTGTGGTCAATGATGTCCCTCCCTCAATTCCAGGTAATTAATAATGATTATATAAGATGTGGTAGCTAAACACGGTTTGAAAATCATTTTAAATAATAAAAATGTTTTTGTTTCATGCCAGCAGCTACCAGTGTACCATTCAGCTGTCAGTCAAAAGTGGCAGTTTCAAAAGAAAAAAGTCAGCCAAAATGTTTGACATGCAAGAAGCCAATGAAAGGTCACAAACATGTGGCAGATTGCCCAAAAAATAGGAAAACTTAATTTTCACATCACTCATTTCATTTTCTTCGTACCCTCTAAATTCCAACTTTTTATCATTAAATTTTGATCTTATTGCATGGTATGCACATGCTGGTAATAGTCCTATTTCTTCTCCTAAGCATCCATAAATCATAGATGTGAATTCTCTGTATGCAACACATCGTAAAAACCTGAATATAAAGCCAAATCATTACTAATGTGTCATAACACTAAAATATACTTAAATACTGGGAAATAACATAATATGCTATCATATATGTTTTCAGATCCTGTTTCTCTGTATCGTCTTTGTTCTTTGGTTTTGTATTTCCTAGCAGCCATTTTTAGCGACCACTTTTCCAAACAAACTGGTCTGAAACCTGGGTGTAGAGTAACGCAACATGGAATAGTTGACAGATCTGCCAGAACCGACTGGTGTGTTAAGCTTTCAGCTACAGGCTTAAGTTCTTGGCAGCACCAGGCCTCTTGAGGATTCTGAAGAAGTGTAACTTGACAAAAACCACACTTGCACCTGATCAATAAAGAAAATCACATTAAAAAATTGTAATCGAGCATCTTTTAACAATTTTTTACCCAAAAGGAAATAAAAAAAATGGTAATCTTGAATAGAAAATTGCACGTTTATGTCTATATTTCATAACTTGAAACCTGAATTGAAATACATTTCATAAGTTGAATTGAAATTAGAAATTTTATTACTCACCAAGAACTCAACTCAACTGTGTGATCAAGTCTTTTTTGTAGCATTTCAAGTTGCTTTTTATGTTCATTTGACTTTTCCACGTAGTCTTCATACCATGCTTGTTCGGCCATTGGTTCATCAGCGTATAGATAGGACTCGGACTCGCCGTGATTTTCATCTATTATATTATATTCCTGGTCATTAATGTTCCTTGTTTCGTCCTCGATGACATAACCGGGAATATAATCATACTCCGAATCACATTGCGAACTATGAGTGCTTTCCGAATCAGAATTCAACTCCGCCATCTAATCGTTGATAACAAGCGCTTGACTTGTTCCTTAAGTTACGTCACGGAGACTTGATCCAGGCCCTATGCCAATTATCAACTTTTACTGTCAAATTTCATATTTGATCAATAATAATTCGAAAACAATGCAGCGCATGAAAAAATTGTAATATAAGTTTTAGATTACTTTTGAAGAAGCAATACGAAAATTCGAAAAAAAAATTGTGAGATAAGCACTTTAAAGAACTAGAACGTTCCTACTAGCAATCCCAAAAGGCGTTTGAAACAGTTAAACGGCAACATATACTGACCAATCCGCAAAAAGAACATGATATATAAACAGCAAATGAAGGCAAAATGTATTTAGCAACATTAAGCAATATTTAAACACCAATTTTAAAAGTTCACACGACATTGTCGATTTAAAGGTTGAATCAATCATAATATCAAGCGCTCAAATTATGACCTTTATAAAAATTTTAAAAACATTGTCATTGATATTGACTAAGCTGGACAAAAAACAAAGCACGTTTTCAAGAACAATTTTTCTGTATTGACCTTATGCTGCTCACGAACGCGCACTCATGTCTATTATGAAGAGCCGACGATACGATACGAGGGTTTAATGCATGCGGATCGTGGGGGGGAAGGTATGCTTGTCTTAGGTAAAATGCAGGCTCGACAAACATAGTTCAAACTTTATTTTGTAGGAAAAGAGTTTCGACGAAGTTTATCTAAAGTTGTAGAAACTCTTCGCTTTTTCCTACATGCACACTTATGGAACTAACAACGTGGCCAACAACATGAATGTTCTCTGTTGTCACCATCTCACTGACGAAAAGTCGTTATTTGTGGGGTTAATGTGAATAATTTAACTCTTGTTATTTCGTCTCCATTTCATGGCCTACAACGCTTTGGTGTCGATGGATCAAACTTAATAGTTAAAGTAGACAAAGAAGACTCCACTATGAAACTATAATATGCCAATTCTGGGTACTCTGAAAATGGCTATTATTACTGGCGCAAAGCATTAACGCGAGACGCGCTCTTTTTAAGACATAGATATATTATTCCATTCACCCTTTCCAACGATTGAAACGTTCTTTTTCTTAGCAACTATGACGTTTCAATGTGTATATATGAGTGTATACAAAAGGCAATGCTTTTGAAAAATAAACATATTTCGTGTCGTTTGGATTAGCATTGAATAGGTCTGTTTGCTTATGACAAGAAGAAATTAGCTTGTCATTACTTTCTCGTGCAAAATTGTTCATCATAAGTAATATTATGGTTTTTAGAGCATTTTCTGCCAAAAAACACACGACAGTGAATTTTTAAACAAGGAAAGAATTTCTTAATTGAACTTTATTGCTTTATTCCTTTAAGAGATCTGGAATTGGAAAAATAGTGCACTTTTTTCTAGCAAATCAGAGCATAACTATTATCATTTATTTGTGAAATGGGAATGAGTATTCCAAATGCACTTTCAGAATTGAAGTATTTTGATCGTCTTTTACAAGTCACGAAGTGTGGTCTTCATCCATCTCCTCTGGCTGAAATTTGGTAAAGTTGTTTGTCACGTTGGCAACTAAATCTTATTGCACTACTTATTTTTCATTTGTTCAGCAAATATACTGCAATAATCTGTCAAAAAACTGACAAATTGCAACAATCATTATAAGTCTTTGGGGTTGACAAATCGATTGACTAAAATTTGCACATATGCTCTTGTGTTGCAACGTGTTTTCAATAGCAAATTGACTTTAATTAAAGCATTATTACATACCGAAGGCTTTAACTTATCAATAAAATAAAGAAGCTCGTCTCAATGAAAAATTCTTGCAGCTTTCGGCAACAATTTTTTAAACTTCCGATGGCTGCTGCTTTAGTCAATATTCTTTAGGAATAACGTAATCTTCTTTTGAAATAATGTACACACAAAATGCTTTATTCAAAATGCTTTTGTTGATACCGCCGCGGTCTTCTATTTTTGAGAGGTAATCAAAAGCCAAACTCATGTCAAAGTCGGATTGGAAAATTAATAACCTGTCCCACTATTATTTATCATTCTGATTTACATATTCACTTTACACATAATATAAAGAAAGACCAGCCCAAAGCACTCATTTTGTGACCAAAAATCCGCACAGCAACCGGACAACGATCAGTCAAGATGAAGAAATGGATTATCGCAGTAATTGTCAATGTATTTTTGATATGTGTTGGAGCCGAAGATGGCATGTGCTGTAATAAGATGAAGTATTTGATTCAGAAAAAGAAACGTGCCTTTGCAATCGTTTGTGCTCCTGGCAACACTGCACTTCGTCGTTGCTGTAATAATATCAAGAAAGGGGTGATGTCTTTGGAAAATGCTTACCGCGAATTGTGCAAGAAGAAATCTGGTAAGAACAATATGGTTGTATGATTGTAGCGATATGGAACGTGAAATCACACCGTCCTGCAATCCTTAGATGGTTAACTTGTTCAATCAAATGAAAGTTATGCTCTAATGATACGATTTTTCAATTCTTGCATAAATATAAAAACAACATAAACTTAACGTTAATGTACATTAATATTAAGAACAATCATACCTAATCACTTACCCAGTTCTTTCCACTCGCTGTCCTTGACTATAATTGTCAAAGCACTGGGCTTGGAATTGGTATATAGCCAGTTTAGAAGGTGAAAGGGAATGTAAAGCAAAAATCAGTAATTTAATACAGCATTTCAGAACGTGTTTAATCTTTATTATCGACGAAACGAATAATTGAAAGATAGAACTTAGGAATTTTTGGGCAGCATGTCATCCATTAAATATAGAGTGAACTGGTTCTTTAAAAAAGATGCAGAGTAAGTTGAACATTCTTTGTTTCTATTTTAATTTAGCCTGTACAATTATTAATTTTTTTTACAGTGAAGACACAGGAACTTCATCGTAACGTGTTTCCACTAACCTGTAAAATCTAGTTCGTCCCAGTCGTTTCGAAAAACAACGAAACAACTCAGAACGACTCGAGTGACTCAATCGACTTAATGAGAACCAGGCTTAAGAACAACTTAAACGTTTTATATCTGACCATTCAAATTTGTAATATCAAATAAATTCGTACATATTTGCGCCATTAATTTGATTAACATTGTCACAATGTTAGTTTATTAATTTAGTCTTAGTTTTGCTTGATTATGATTAATGTTTTTTTACATAAATGTGTTTGAGAAAACTGCCGCATATGATTTTGCTGTACCAACATTTTTCTTCCCTTTACATCCGTATATTTTTATAATTTTACTATAGTTGCGATCAATCTACGATATAAAGAGTGCAGACAGTACAAAATGTTGAATGAGAGTAACAGAAATGTTAAATATCGGTCGGGTAGAAAATGTGACCGCAGTCTCACAAAAGGATGGTACAGATTTGGTGGTGGAGCTGGAACCGAAATGCCCAAATCCTGCGTTGCGAAAAATCGATGTGGAACTCATGCCTCTGGTTGGTTAAACGGAACTCATCCCACGATGGCTGAAGGAGAAGTGACGAGGAAAGTCTGCTATCATTGGAAAAACAGTTGCTGCCATTGGTCAAATGATATTGAGGTCATCAATTGTGGTCCGTATTTTGTTTACAAACTTAGCCGCCCACGGGTTTGCAGCCTGCGTTACTGTGGTACAAACTAGGACATCTCCACAATTTGATTTACGTAATTGATGTGTTGTAGTAATTGCTTTTTTCTTCTTCTCTCAACAATAAATTAAAGCTCAAATTTTTTGTGTTTTTTCTTTTTGTTTGAGATAAACATGAATTTTTTTATACTGATTGAAAATCATGCAAAGTTATTTTAAAGCCTATATACGAGGCAAACAAAATGCACACATCTTACTACTACTTTCGCACAGCTAAAGTTATTCGTTTTTCTTTCGTTAAGTGTTATAGAAAAAATGAAGATTTTTATCAGAGAGCAAAAGGCAATTTGATTTAAAATGAGGATGAACACAATTGTAGAGACGACTGATTTGTGTGCAGATTTGTAAGGAGTGATAGCCTTTGAATTGGATACAAAAATACAATATTTTATTTGGGCGCTAAAAAAAGGTAGTTCTACTCGAACTTTATGTGGGAAAATTTGGGGATAATGCGGTCAAAATGTGCTAGGAGAAACCATTTAGTGTGATGAGTTTTCTAGTTATTTATACTTTTGAATATAATAACTCTTATGACTGAAACTAAATAGTAAGGTAAAGATGCGGGTAGGAGTCAACAGATTAGTTAAGTTTGTGGAAAAGTGGGATAAAGTTGTGAAAGTTGGTGAAAAGACCGGCGAATGTAGGTTTACCATAGACAGTTGTAGTTGTTGCTAATCAAAAGGCAGATGTCAAGGTCTAAAAATGGAAATCTGCTATCGTTTTCCTTCTCTGCGGTGAGATATTATTGGGATGTTGATGGTTTACGTAATCAAAGCAGAAAGAGCTGAAATTCGATAGTTTGATTATTTTTTATTTAATTAGTTAATTTGATTAGATAATTTGATTATCTAATTTTTAGCTCTTTCTGCTTTGATTACGTAAACCATCAACATCCCAATAATATGTTTGTAAATGTAGATCGTCCAGGTTGGTATAGTCCTGAGAAGGAGTGTTTTTGTTGTTGTTGACTGACGTTTCGACAACCTTAGCGGAGTCATCTTCAGAGTCAAAAGACTCTAACTCTGAAGATGACTACCGCTAAGGTTGCCGAAAAATGACTCTGAAGATGACTACCGCTAAAGTTGTCGAAAAGTCAGTCAACAACAACAAAAACAGTCCTTCTCAGAACCATATCAACCTGGACGATCTACATTTACAAACATGTAACGATACTCCCGGGCTCAAACCATTTACCGAAGAGAAGGAAAACGATAGCAAACTTCCATACTTCAATTTTTAGAATTTAATACCAGAGAGCAATGTTCAATTAAGATAAGTGTAATATCAGAGAGACAATTGTGTATGAATAGAAGTAAGCACTTTCTAGTAACACAATTCCGGTAATTAGATTCCGGTAATAGAACGAGACATGTTGATGGTGTACAATTCAAATGGTTGCATCAATAGGATAGTTCATTATGTTCAATCGCTATACATCACTGTGTCTAACGACGGTGTTTTGATGACTTCAGAAGTACAAACCTTGAAAGACCTAAGACGTAAGATCCCAATTTTCTCTCTAATATGACTATCCAGAGGCAATGTTCCATATTTTCTTAGGTAATGTAAGACAGTATTTCCAAGGTTGTGTTCATGAGAACGTTGAAAACGAAACAGAGATAAACTGAGTAAGGCATAAAGTAAATCCTATAATCTTTACGATTCTGAATCGGCCGTATCCTGCATGCTTCATTGCAGACGTAATTTTTTGAGCTTGGGTGAATTTATTACGAAGATATTTCGATTTCAAAAACTTTGTTGTGATGTTGATTTGATTGTTTCATTAAACATGACTATAGTTCTTATTGAATACAAACTACTGGCGTAAGTATTTTTACATATTTATTGGATACAGCAAATGACATAACAAGCTCAACTTGCCAATCAGTCATCATCTTCTTCAAAAGTTTTAAAATAAATTGTCCACATCATCATAGGTTTCTTAGGCATCCATATAAAGTTGTGTGGTATTGGAGACTGGTTTTGGAATGAAGAAAAACACTGAGATCGGCAGCCTTTCTCTCTTTCTACCTTGTAGTACAGTTTGTCAACTGATACCTCCTAAATTTTTTGTTTCCGTCAATGACCCATACGAATTTCTCGATGCGAAACAAAGCACTGTCGCCCTACAAGGCCATAATTCCTCTATATCTCAGAATTGCTTTCAAAAATAAAATTTTTCCCGAAAGCCGCTCAAGACATGATCATTGCCTTAACCAGTGTCTGTTTTTTAATGAAAGATAGAGTGGGAAGTATGGTGTCAATTATTTTTCTGCTTCACTAGCCATTGCTTATGATTCGAGTTTAACCTATCAAAAGCTTGCATGTAATAGCTGTAAAGGCGATCCGACCACTAGTGTTTCTCACCAGAATAACGAACGCTAAAATATAGATACCTCAATGCAGCACTTGCCAATCATTTAGGCAAAAAATGAAGGCATATTCAATGACAACACCTTATTATGTAGTACATTAAATGAAAATCAATAGCACAAAACAAATGTCGATAAAATTTATTGAACGCTTATTATAACTCTTAAACAAGTATTTACAATATGGATGACGCAGCAATTCTGCCTTTGCATGTGAAATTTTTATGAGTGATAAATTGCAAGTCCTTTTTTTACAGTGAATGGTTTGAACGTGGGAGTATACTTAGATGTTTTTTAAATGTACATCGTCCAGGTTAGTAGAGTCTTGAGGAGGACTGTTAGTGTTAACGTTGACTGACGTTTCGACAACCTTAGCGCCGTAGTCATCTTCAGAATCAAGTGAGGAGTAAAAGTCAGGTTTGCCGTATTTCTTGTCTGGTTCATACGCCATCGTATTGTGCATGCAGAGGTAATTTGTACATGTCAATTGTGTATTCCGGATTAGTCTAGATATGAGTAATCCACTTCTTGATTGCACTTCTTCGAATTGAATGCACCTGCGACGTGTATGTTGTAAGATGCGTCAAACCTGGACATACAACAAAGACGGCAAACCTGACTTTTACTCCTCACTTGACTCTATACATGACTACCGATAAGGCTTTTGAAACTTCAGTCAACACCAACAGTCTTTCTCAGGACTCTACTAACCTGGACGATCTACATCTACGAACATCTAAGTCCCTTTCTGATGCTATATAATCGGCTAAGCCAGTTACTGAAAAGATATTATCTCAGGAACTGTCAGCTATTAAATAACGTTGGATAGCATGCTAATTATAGATGTTGAATGTGTGGAGTCTAATAAGCAGCTTCAGACTGTTAAAACACAGATCTTCCCCCAAGAAACTACATAGTGTCTTCGAAAATGGATACATTCTATTAGGTAAATCATTATCTCGAAAAAGCTAGATTCGTAAAAGCTAGATGAGTAATGTCAAGGTTACCTGAAATTATGTTAATGATGGGAAGGTGTAGAAAATAGAATGGATTTTTGTTTGTAGGGCACATAGTCGTTAGAGTGCGCGATGTAAAAGGAAGATAAAGAAAAAGTGCTTACGAAAACCTAAGTGTTCTTAAATATGGGCGTAAGAATATCGTTAGTTTTTTTTGTTTTTTTAAGGGGGGACATATCTATTAATTATACGTAATGTTAAGTTCTTTTGAAATCCAGTGTTTTCAAAGGCTTATAACATGCATACATGAAAATGACCCCAGTCGTCCTACGCTTGCATGTTCTCATATGCTGCAAATTAGCTAATCTTGGCTTGTTTTGGCAAGATTGCTATCGAGTGAGTAATGCAACATTGAGATTGTTTTGTGGTTGCACCTAAGATCTTTTTCAAAACAGTTTTCTGAGAATTTCTATTTGACACGTCACGGGTTTTATTAAAATGTCTAACGCAGTATGGGCACAAAGTGAGAACAAAATCATGTTTTTGAAAAAAACCTGTTATCTGTATATGTTTTTTGTATTTGCGGTAGTTTTCATTCTTTTTCATTATCATCATAGCTATTCGTAACTTTTCTCAATATTGTTTTTTTTTGTTGTTAATTTATTAAGAAAGTTGACAGCCAAAACCTAAGGATATGCTATAAAGTACATTTAGACGTTAACTTATTACTGGAATGTTTGACTTATTACTGGAATGTTTGCAATGATAAAGTCGACTTTGGATTGATCATATTTTTAGATTGCAACCCACCTCCATGTAATTATCAAACATTGTGGCTCGCTCACAAATGCTGGTGCACACAATAGTAGATATAGTGGGTTTTTTTTACCTAACCGCCAACATGGCGCCATGACATTACATTCAAACCACCTATTTTGCTAGGAACAGTTAAAGTGACACTGTGACGAAAAATTGAGTCAACATTTTATTACAATTTATAAAATGAAGAGTTGATTAAGCATACTCTCCAAATTTTAGCGGAAAATTCCATTATAATCCAGTTTTTTTTTGTATTCAAACCTGCTATTACTCGGCTGCCATTACTGAGCTCTCATTTAATAAATTTTGGCACTCTATTTTTCAAATTATTTCATTTCACTATTGTTCAGAAACACATATAGACTTCAAATTGTCTTTTGAGCCTTTTCTTAGCAAAAACGCTTACACAGACGAAGTTTATGATGCTTATACTGAACCTGCATGCTGCAGCTACTTGTTCTGAGCATATAAAATATTTGCGAGATTTAAGCATGCGATAGCATAAGCAAGAATTAAGAATTATCTTTGCGATTATCTGAAGAGAACCCAACCAATACTTGGTAATTTTGTCTCTATATAGAGTCATTTGTACGGTGTTATGTTGAGTATTCTGTATATTATTGTATAAATACTCGAGTGTTAACAAGCTTTATACGTGTATAAAATGTGGCAACTGGAACTTAGAATTTGTCCTGAAACATAGCGAGAGTATTTGTTATTTTGAAAGTTGTGACCTACAGAAAAAAATGATGGCACATAAAATGGATGGAGGTGCTTCATTTAGCACCCTGGTTTGAACCAGTATGTTAAAATACTTTGTTGCTGAAAACTGCTGGTTGAAATTTTGAAACAATTTTACTCTTATTGTCGCACGCTTAACTCTTGCTAATATTCCATATGCTCAGTACTAGTAGCTGCAGCCTGCAGGTTTGA